TTGATGAGCTAATATATGGAAAGTGCTTACCACCTGTCTGGTACCTAGTATGCGCTAGATAAATATTAGCTGTGATGGTGGTAGTGATGATGATGATGATGTTTAAAGAAAATCCTTGCCTTCCATAGTCTTTCTCCTCTGTCCTCCTGTTCTCCCCTCCGTCTCCATTTCCTAGAGAGTTTTCCAGGCCCATCAATGTCTACTCTTCCCTTCTGGCCACCCTGGCCATGGGCAGCCACCACCAATGGCCAATTCAGTAAGAGGGTTAGTAGCTAAGACCTCAAAACCAAGACTTCTGGGATCTCACGGCTCTGTAGCCGGCTTTCTTCATTCACTTGGAGATCTAGAAGAAAAGCCACACTGAGGTCTTTAGGCCAAAGGCACAGAACTCCTCTTCCCTCCAGCTCATAAGCAGTACCACCTCCCCACCATCCGGGTGCCCCTATCCAAACTTCCCCTGTCAAACTTAGGGCAAAAAGGCTCTTTCCTCCCGTCCTTTCCAGGCTCTTGACTCCCTTTGTCCAAAGCTGAGGCTCCCCCACCTGTTCCCCGAAGCCCCTTACCTTGCCCTCGAGGGGCATTTGGGTGCCTGCCAGTGGTTGATGCCCGGTGCCATGCTCTGCCAAGGGGTTGGGACAGATGGGGGTACCCGTTCAGGATGCACACACAGCACAAGAGCTCCTCAGGACGCAGGGCACCCACAGTTCTTCTGACCTCATCTAGGTGGACCCCACAGAATCAGAATTCAGAAGGTGTGTAACTGAACTGAGCCGAGTTTACTTTTATCAAAATCTTGGAAGAAAAATGTTGTTCAGCCAAAGAGCTGAGGAAATAAAATTGGAAGATTTTTGTTGAACCTACTTAAGAGCAGATGTGTTTTTTAGACCTTGGTGCAACAGTTTGTATGTAAATAGCTTGTGCTAACTGCAAATGAGTCTTATCTTTTCTTTGATGTGGACCCCCCAGGGTATTTATTTGGAAATACTTTGTTAGCAGTTACTCCAAAGCAATACAATTAAGGTTCTCTCCAAATATTCTTTAAAGTAGACTTGTCTCTAAAAAAAAAGTAGGCTTGTCTCTAAATCAGGAGAGGAAAGATGGAGCGGATAGGAAACGTTGTCACTCAAGAAGCCATCCTTAGGGTGCCTGGGTGGCTCAGTTGGTTAAGTGACTGCCTTCGGCTCAGGTCATGATCCCGGAGTCCTAGGATCGAGTCCCACATCAGGCTCCAGGCTCTGCCAGGGAGCCTGCTTCTCCCTCTGACCTTCTCCCCTCTCATACTGTTTCTCTCTCTCTCTCTCTCAAATAAATAAATAAAATCTTTAAAAAAAAAAAAAAAGAAGCCATCCTTATAAGAGGCTCCGAGCACAGCAAGTTGTCCGGTGCCAGGGGGATCTGGGGAGCGAATGAGCAGCTCTGGCCGGGATCCAGGAAGGGAAGGGAGATTCTGGGGGAGGAAGAGACCGGTCCTTCCTTTGTTTCCTTTACCCTGTCTTGGCCAGAGGAGGGGTGGCGTCCAGCACCACCTGCCCATGGCCAAAGGCCCAGCAGTGCCCCTGGGGCTCTGTTGGCAGCAGGGCCTTGGGTGAGCCGGGTTCAGGAGGGACTGTCCCAAGAGGAAGGGCCTGTTCACCGTCACCCTGGCCAGTGGCTGGGATGGAATTTTGAACTGCTGGGGTAGAGAGCTTTTCGGGTGCTACAGAGGGAGTAACTTCCTGCTTGGGGCCAGGACTAGGGGGAGCCGAGGGAGGTGCCGTGTGGGCAGCATTTAAGGGCCTCACTCTTAGCTCTGGCCCTGCCTTTGCAGGAGCCTGAGGTTGAGCTCCCCCTTAAATTTTGCACCCCGGGCTTCTTGCCTGCTTCACCCTCATCCCAGCCTTGCTTTCTGTCCTCCAAGAGGGGAGTTCCTGTGATTGCCTACAAGGCAGAGCGTCCTGTGCGTGTCCCTCACTCCTTCCTCAGGGGAAGGGCAGCAGCAGCCGAGTGAGGGCAGAGTGCCCAACTTGGAGGCCGTGCCCCCCACTTTTGCCTGCAGCCTCAGCACAGACTGGTGGAAGGAGGCCTGCAGGGCCCCCAATGATAGGACTTGCTGAGGGTCCCAACACTCCCTTCGGCCAGGGGCTGCCTAAAGAAGCAGGACCTGACAGGTGTTGAATCCTGCAAGGCTGGGGACTCCACTGCCTAGCCCCCTCCCCATCGCCATGCGCCTCTCCCCCACCCCCTCCCTCCACCTCCTCCACAGAATGTGAAGGACATCAGACAGCCTAGTTCAAGCCCAGCTTCACCCCTAGGAGCCCCTGGGTGAGTCAGAGGCTCGCTGGGGTGCTAAGTTCCCTGCTCCCACAAAGCAGGGAGGGTGGACTAGCACGGGGCCTGGGAACAGGGTGGAGGGGTTGGGCGGGTGCCAGGAGACCTCAGGCAGACAGGACTGAGTCAGCAGGGAGCATGGTGGTGCTCGGGGCATTGCTGGAGGGTAACCTGCTGCACGTGGGGCCCGTGACAGGGATGACCCAGGCCCCAAGAACTTGGGGAACCAGGCTGGGGGGAAGTGTACCTGAATGAGCCAAAGGTATGACCATTGTTTGTGGGGTCTTCACACAGTTTCATCAGGGCTGGACAAGTCCTTTGTGAGGCCAGCAAAGGGGGCAGGGCAGGTAAGGGACAGACAGAAAAGGGACGAAGGTCATGGGGTGTGTCCTCAACCCAGGCCTGCCCTATCCGGGTAAGAGTCGCCGACACTGGGCCCCTCAGCAGCATGATGACACCAGCTTCGGCTGGAGCCATGAGACGACGGAGGCCACATCCCACAGCGAGGGCACTCAGTGCTTGCCCGACGGCGGGGCGGACAACTGTTTTCAACTTCAAGCTGACCGTCTTTCTCCATTCAGACACAGTGGAGGGGCTGAGGAGGAGGCCGTGGCTATGCGGACAGGACCCTCAGAAATGGCTGCTGGTGGCGTGAGAGTACCCCCTTCCTTCTGGCTGCCCTCTTACCCAATGCTGGGGATGAGGGGTGGGCTGGCTGGCTGCTGATGGCAGAGATGAGAGGCCTGAATGCCCAGAGCTCGCCAGAGCAAAGGATGCCCGAGGACCTCCTCTATAGGTATCTTAGGTCCTAAAAAGAAGACAGATTGGAGGGCTGAAGGGATGGGGAAAGAACCCCCACGGGCATCCTTCCTTTCTTTGCTTCCCCAAGGGATGGGAACCTGGGGTCAGCAAGAGGGGGAGCAGGAGTGACAGCACGAGGCGGGGAGGAAGCGGAGGGACTGCCCCCCCACGCACCCACAGCGGTGCACACACACGCGCACGCACACATGTACACACACGCGTGCACTCCTCCTTCACGTCTGGTCCCCTTGTGAGAGGACTGAGTTAGGGGATGGGATAAGACGAATCCTAAGTGTGCTTTGGCCTTTATAGAGGAGCCGGACATTTCAATTGCAGAACAGTTATGGGCTTTGTGATTTAAAGCGGTGGTTGCTCTTTTTATGACCTAAGAGGGTTCAGAAGAGCTCCGAGGCTTGGTTAAGTGTTTGTCCTGGGACAGGGTGGTGGGAGGATGGGGTGGTGGGGAGGCGGAGGATGGGGATGGGGAAAACCAGTTTCAATAAAGCTGTTTCATGATTACTTCTCCCCGACCCCCACCCCAGCTCCCTTAAGTCCTGCTCCTTTGCTCAACATGATGGACACACTCCCCCTTCAGTGCAGGCACTGAATTCAAACTGCCTGCAGATGAACTCATTTCGCCCTCCCGGTGACTGGTAGCTGTCATCATTCTCCCTGTTGGACAGGTGAGGAAGCTGCGACCCCAGGAGACGGAATAATGTGCCCAAGCTCTCCCAAGCTCTCCGGCTGGAGCTGGGGCTCAAGCCCAGGCAGGCTGCCTCGGAGCCAGCGCCTGCAACCTCAGCCTTTCTCCAACGGTCTCCGGGAACTCCTGGAACTTGCTTCAGACTCACGAAGCCTCGCTAAGGGTTCCCACCGGTCTGGGCTACGGGACAGTGGGTGACAGGGCGGGTCCTTGGAAACCCTGGTGCAGGGTACCTTCCTGGAGGATGACTTCCTTCCCAGTCCTGCTTCTGTAGGAAAGTCAGAAGTCAGGTGCTGAGCTCTGTGGCACTCTTGCTGCGCATTGCAGATCTCTTTGTGTTTGTCCATCAGGGAGGATGTGTGTGTGTGTGTGTGTGTGTGTGTGTGTGGTTCTCCCACTGCCTCTCCATCAAGGTCATATCCCCCTGAGGGCAGAGACCATACCTTTATATTGTTCCCCTGAGCTCTCAGCACACATCGCCCGCCCCGTGGGGAGCCATGGGAGCCCCAGGAACCACAGGTGATGGTGATGGTGCTAACTCATCCCGTGTCCCCTCCTCCTGGCCCAGCCCGAGTGCGCCAGTGACCAGGCTTTTCCAGGTCCTGCCCCCCCCCCATCAACTTCTGTTCAGTTCTCTGGGTCTCACCTGTGTTATCACAGGCTAGGATAACCGGTGGGCACCTGGCAAGCATTCTCTGTAAATGATGGAAAAAATCATGTACCTTTTCACAGGCTCACAAATCCCCCCAGGGCTAAAACACTTCCCCCTGATGTTTTTCTCCATTTGCCACTGGATTTATTGAAACTGGGGAAAAGGATGCATTTCTTAGTGAGCAGATGCCAAGATGAGTTCTTTGTGGGGTGTGGTTGGTAATAATTTAATTAGCCCAGCTTTTTTGGGAAAAACGTGTTAATTAGTTTTCCGCTTAAAATACACCATCTCCATGGCCTCTTCTTCCCCACTTCTATCCCCTGGGTGAAGCCCCAATTTCCCGTCCACACTTGGCAGCAAGTCTCAGCCTAGCCATTGCTGTTATTGGAGAAGAAAATGCAGAAGGTGCAGCCATGGATGATGACACCTGTTGATTGATTCCTGTAGGTCCGGGAGACTGGGAAGGGGCAGGACCCCCCCAGTAGTCACCTGCAGTGGCCTCTGGAGAACTATGAAGTGAGGAAGAACCACGAAGAACCCCAGTCCCAGCTCCAGGAGGCTTTGGGAAAGGACTGCTGAAACCCCAAGGTGGAGATCAGGAGCATCTCAGTGGAGGGCTGGGAGGGAGAGCCTCCAGCCCCTCAGACGGAAGGGAAGAGGTCTCTCCAGGTGAGCCCATCCCCCCGCTTCTTGTCCAGCCACCTGCCGCAGCTGAAGATGGTGGCCACGCCGGTGCTGGTGTTGGTGACTTCCACCTTGTCCACCAGCCAGCCCGAGTAGTGGCCGCTGCCATTGTGTTCCACCCGCACCTTGCGCAGCTCGCCCAGCTCCAGCGTCTCCAAGAAGAAGCGGTCGGTGCTGCCCCGCTCGAAGAGGTTGCGCATTTTCTGCTTCAGCTCCCGCTTGCCCGTGTCCCCGTTGGCCCCAAAGATGGTCACGAAGACACTGGCGTCGGTGCCTGCCCCTGGCTCATAGCCCGTCGTCACGATGACCTCGTACTTGACCGGCACCAGGCTCTGCACCTTGCTGGCGAAGCTCTCCGTTGTCTTGGTGACCTCGAATACCTTGAAGTACTTCCTCTTCCTCTTGAGGGGGATGAGGCAGTCACAGTTGAAGAAGTACCTGGGGGGAGGGGAGGGAGGAGGCTCAGGGGGCACCAGCCAGGGCTCTCGCCCTCCCCCTGGGCCCCGGGTCCATACATGATTCCTTTCCCAGGTCACAGGATATTGGGGCTGGAAATGTCTGCATTAAAATATGAGGATGGAGTCTTGTTTGTCTTAAAATTCACAGTGAGTGGCTTCTCTATCCTTCCAGGCACTCCTTGATTTTCCTTTTACCTCTACCCCAAAATCCATGTGCAATCCACCAGCAAATCCCATTGACCCCATCTTTAAAATAGGTCCAGAATCAGCCACTTGGAAAAGTATGCAGTATCTCACTATCCTCTCTGCTGCCCCTCTGGTCCAAGTCACTAGCGCCTCCTTCTCCCTGGGATAGAGCAGACGCCTAGCTGGTCTCCCTGCTTCCTGCTACCTGTGGTCCATTCTTTACACAGCAGCCAAGTGACTCTGTAGACACAGAAGCCCGAGAATGTAATTCCTCTGCTCAGAACCCTCCAATGGCTTCTTAGGTTAAGTGAAAACCACCACCTTACAAAGGTCTGAAAGACCCTATGTGATTAGACCCTCTGCCCCGTGTTTGCTTTTCTGACCCAGCACCTGGCCTTCTCTAAGCTCACTCCACACTAACCATGCTGGTCCCCTTGCTCTTTCAAAGGGACTGATGAATATTTCTACCCAGTATTGTCACCTTCAGAGATAGCTGCAGGATCCAGAGTGACAATCCCAAGGCAAAAGCCAAGTGGAGATGTCACTGGGGAACATGTGCTGTCAAGTCCCTTGCACCGGGCTGAGTTGAACTATGAGTGTGTGTGTGTGTGTGTGTGTGTATGCGTGTGAGTGTGCATGTGCTCATGGTCTGTAGAGCGAAAGGGGTTAGAGAAAGTACTTACTGAACAAGCTACCATAAGCAGAAGCAAATCTAGGGACAAGAGAAATGTCTTGGACCAAAAAGTCCCCTCTCTACCCCCACCCCCAACAACCCCAATTTTAGCCTCTGGGCAATGGTAGTCAGGCCAATAATTAACTACAAAGGAGGAAGTCAGAGGGCATGGTGGGAAAATGCTGCACGGGAACAAAGGTACATGGGGTCTGCCCCAGCCCTGCCACCTCCCACCCATGTGACCTTGGACAAGCCACGTCCCCTACCCGGACCTTGGTTTTCCCATTGGCAATGCTAGAGGTTTGAACTGAACAACTGCTATGGGTTCTTCCCACTCCCAACTCCTAATATTTTAACAGCTTCGGAAATAAGCTCTCCTGGCACTGACTGATGACGTCAGGAATGCAGCCCTGATGGGGAGTGCCCAGTGGTGCAAAATCAGACCCCTTTTAGATGAAAATCCATAACTGCAAAAAGAGCTTGCTTTTCTGCACGCTTCCTAAATGCCAGGGCTTTGCGTTCTTGCATCTCATTAGTTCCCACAACAACACAGAGCTGTAGGCATCATCCTCCCATTTCACAGAAGGGGAAACTAAGTCTTGAAGAAGAGAAGTCACTGCCCAAGGTGAGCCAGAACCGGGCCCGCAGCCAGCCTGCCCAGCCACCGGAGGAGCCCGCCAGTGAAAGACACGGGCAGGAAATCCGAATTCTGCTTCAAGATCTCTCTTCCCCCAGTTATCACTTGATAAATGTGGATTGTTGTTACATACACTTTCTCAGAGGGGATATAACTTCATTCTTTGTTTAGACATTCTTTAAAAATGTATTTCTTTATGCAAATTCTCACTGATATACATAATTCTATATAAATGCACACATCATGCGATCACATGCGTGTTTTTCTAAATGCACTTTTTCTTCTCCTTTCTGCGTGGCTGTCTCCTTTTTCCCTCTTTCCTTTCTACTTCAACGTCCCACCTTTACCTCAGATAACCCATGTAACAGTTGCGGGGGTGTCTCTTGCCAAGTTTCCTTCCATTTCACCCAACCCTGCACAGACCCACATAGACACAGACATATGCGGCACGTCAGTGTTCCCTCTACAAAATGGCATCATATAATATGTGTTTTCCCATATCTTGCTTTTCCTGGGAATTGCTCCAAGTCATCTGGTACATATTTAATTCATTATTTTTAATGGCTGAAAAATATTCCCTGGTATAGCTATAAGGAAAAGCCTTCTAATAGATCTAATTATAAGATCACCAAAATGTGGGACCCTGGGGCTTTGTGGAGTTAAGACTCTAGATGTGGAAGGACACGTTCCAGGCTTTTCCCGCTAGAAATGAGGATAGGGTCATCAGAAAGAGTAAAGGCAAAAGCAAAGAATAGCGAATGAAAAGAATTTAAATATATTTGAAAAACATGTAAATCTGATCACACTTCTGTGAACAGTGCATTTGTGAGATATTATAAAGTGTCAGAGACAGTGGAGTCACCAAATACTCCTGGTGGCCATCTCTGATGGGTAAGGTTTAGGGAGGTGTTACTTTCTTTTATAGACTTTTTGAATTATTTGAATCTTTATAATGACTGTGTATTTTTTAAGGATTTATTTATTTATTTTAAAGATTTTATTTATTTGAGAGAGAGAGCATGAGCGGGGGTGGGGAGGGGCAGAGGGAGAGGGAGAAGCATGCTCCATGCTGAGCAGGGAGCCCGACACAGGGCTCAATCCCAGGACCACCTGAGCCGAAGGCAGATGCTTAACCAACTGAGCCACCCAGGTGCCCCAAAGATTTATTTATTTATTTGAGAGAGCGATAGAGAGAGAGTAGGGTGGTGGGAGGAACAGAGGGAGAGAGAATCTCAAGCAGGCTTCATGCTGTGCTTGGGGCCTGACACCGGGCTCAATCCCACGACCCTGAGATCATGACCTGAGCCAAAACCAAGAGTCTGACATTCAACCGGCTGGGCCACTCAGGCACCCCAATATAATGATTGTGTGTTATATATGGTATTGAGATAAAACAATAAAGTTATTTCTGGTTAAAAGAAAAAAGAAAGGAAAGCCCGTGTGTGTGTTCTTGCACTGCAATCCTGAGGATCTTAGTGGTGAAGGAGAACAGGTTAGGAGGTACTGCCCATTGCAGGGGAGGAGGAAACGGTTGAAAGATGAAAATTGGAGATTAGTGTGTTTATAGGAGATTGAGATTAAATTCGTTTGTAAATCACGGAAGTCCAGCTATTACAGTTAACATGGTGGTTGGAAAGGAACTGTGGATGCAGGTACACCATCCCTCAGGCACCACAGGCGGGGGGGCTGGGGTATGAGCTCTGAGAGTTCCCTGAGCTGGGGCCCCTGTCATCCTCCTCCCCCAGCGCCAGACTCCAGTGAACACCCAGCTCTCTTCCCAAAGGGGAGAGTGAGCACAGGGAGGTGAGGGGTTACTGCCTGAGGCCACACGGCTCAGTATCCAGGGTCTGATTTCCTGCACCCCCTTCCCACTGGGAGGATCCCCCACCCCATGGACATCCCTTCCTCCTCCTCCAGCCCTGGTGACATCATGACAAAAGGCCACACTCTTGAGGGTGTAGGAATGGGGGCTTCTTTCCCCTGGAAGAGAAATCCTACAACTTGGGCCCAGGACTGTGGGGTAGGAAGTTCATGGGCTGAGCTTGTTTTTCCCCTCCCTTCAGAGACTGGAAGGTGCTGGGTGGTGCTGAGATTTGGGGCTCACTCTCTTTCTCACAGCAGACATTGTCGGTTCAAAGCTAACTAAAGTGGGGACGATTTCATTTTATTATTGCATTGTATTATATTGTCTTTGCTTGTCTGGTTTATTACCGGGGTCTGTGGAGGTGTGGTATCAGCAGCCACACACTCCATGTGGTTGGGAGGCAGTACTGGGTGGCAGAGGGGCTTTGCCCTGGCCCCGGCTTGCTGGGTGAGTTGGTAACTCCTCCGGGCCTTCTGTGTCCCCTTCTCCAGTCCCCATCAGTACTGCTCCAAGCAGCCACACCCCGAACTCTGGCAGGATTTATTGTACCTGCTGGTTTTTCTCTAAAAGAGCAATTGGTAACACTGCAGCCTGAAAGGGACTCAATTATGTCTCACCTCCAAATTCGTATGTTGAAGCCCTAACCCCCAGTGTGATGGCATTTGGATATTTGGGAGGTGATTAGGTTTAGATGAGGTCATGAGGGTGGAGCCCCTTGATGGGAATAGTGCCCTTATGGCTCAGTCAGTTAAGTGTCTGCCTTCAGCTCAGGTCATAATCCCAGGGTCCTGGGATTGAGTCCCGCATAGGGCTCCCTGCTCGGTGGGGAGCCTGCTTCTCCCTCTCCCTCTGCCGTTCCCCCTGCTTATTCTCTCTCTCTCTTAAAAAAAGAAAGAAGAGGAAGAGGTACCTGAGTTCTCTCTCTCTTTTTCTTGCTCTCTCTGCCATAATGACACAGCAAGCCAGGAAGAGAGGCCTCATCAGGACCCAGCCATGCTGGTACCCTGACCTCCCATTTCCAGCCTCCCAAAGGGTGAGAAAAAGATGTCTGCTATTTGAGCCACTCAGTCTGTGGTCTTTTGATACGGCGGGGGGGGGGGGGGGGGGGGAGGAGGGGGGGGTAGCGCAGACGGACCGGCTCTGAGCAGCTTGGGCTTCTGGAGGCCGGAGCCTGCACTTAGCTGCTGCTTCTGTCCAGTGCGCTCCCCGGGCACCGGGAAGGCATGGCCATGGGCAGGGCCAGCTCCGGGGTTCTGGGGTGGGGGGCAGCAAGCAGGCTGGCCCTGGGAGTTGTGCACCTCGCCTGTCACTCACTCCCTGGGCCTAGCCTCCTCAAGGCAAGCAGTGGCCCCAGCACCCCCTTCCTCCCCTCCTGGTGCCTTCACACTGTCCTTCCTGCCTCCCAGGGCCTCCTGCTTTCTGGCATCCAATGTGGTAACCAAGTGGTTTTAATTAGAAAAACTGATGGCTGTGGACTGTTACCCAGGTAACTAAAACCTTAATCCTCCAGAAATGCCCGAGGCTCCAGAAGGCCCTGGAGGGTGGGGGTGGGGGGGAAGCAAAGCTCCTTATCCAGAGTCCTCAGAGGCAGGTGGGCCAAGGGATGACTCCAGCTGGTCTGGTCCCCACTCTGCCCACCGCGACGTCAGGGCTTTCACGGGGACGGCGGAAGCAGCCGGCTTCAAAGCTGTGTTTCTTTGTCGTTGCACAGAGATGGGAGGGGAAGGGAAGGGAAGTGTCCGCTGTCTGGCGTTGTCTGGCTTACTCTGTGTTTTTCAAGGAAGCATCCCTGGATTAAAAGGCTGGAGCATCCAAGCTCATCTGCTCTAGTCCCTGCCTCTGAGGGTGGGCCCACAGCTCAGAAAGCTCCAGAACACTACCACTGCCTCTTCCCTTCCTGCCTTGCAAGTTTCCTGAATGAGGTGGCCTCAAAGGGGACAGCTCCCTGGGGCCTGGTGGCTAGCCCATGTTCTAGCCCTTCTGTCCCTTCAGAGTCAGCAGCACTTCCGGGGGGAAGGGCGGAGGCACAGTACATACACGTTGCCGTACTCCATCTCCGTGATGGTGATGGTCTTGACGTGCCAGACCAGCTCTCTCTTGGGGATGAACCGGTCCTCCCTGGCGAGGTGGCCCACGCAGAGGGAGGCAATGTCCCCCAAGTAGACACTGTCAAACTCGAACGTGTCTGTGGTCCCCCTGCAGGACACAAAGGTATGGCCCTCAAGAGCTGCCCGTGTCCACTGAAGGAGGTGAGCATTTATTGAGTGCCTACTGTATTCCAGGCACTGGTCTGAGGAGCAGGGATGGAATTGGCGACCACAGCCTGCATGCACCAGGGATTGGTAACATCATGCAGCACATGGAGCTGGGAGGAGGGCGAGGCCCTGGGCCCCGGGTGTTGGGCTGGGGAGGGTGGTGGGATTCAGAGAGCAGAGCCTCGGGAGGAAGGGGGCCCTGAGGGGGACCTGACTGGGCACAGTCCTGGAATGGGGACTGCAAGGGAGGAGGCATAGGCGCCCCTGGGGGGAGTCCTGGCTTGGCTGCAGTTGGGGTTCAGCCAGGGGAGAGGAGAGGTAGGGTGCGGCCGTCTGTGCTGGTCCGGAGTGCCAGTCTAAGGAGCTCAGACTTCATCCTGACACACAGGGAGTTCGAATGGAGGTTTAGTGGGTCACGGGCGGGGAAGACTTCTGTAAGCAGTTCTGGCAGACGCGGGGAGATGAAGTGGGCATCTGGGCAGTTCAGAGGGGGGCTCTGGTGTGCAGGAGGAGGGGGGATTCTCCAGCGTGCCTGCCAACCAGGGGCGGTGAGAAGAGGCACCTTTACCCAAAACCCAAGGCTGATTTCCCTAGAGAGCTTCATAGAGGGTCTCTCCTCCCTTCCTCCTTCCAAGGAGAACTCAGTTCTGTGCTGTCTCCCATGATGACTCTCTTGCAATCTCATGGCTGAATGTTTTCCTTTTCAACTAGACCGTGAGCTTCTGGTCTGCACGGACTTAGAGAAGGTCTGCAATGCCACCTGGGTCTGCTGCAAAGTGGGCTCTCTTTAATTAGTTAATTATTAATTTTTGCTGTAGCTTTCCATTAACTTTTAAAAACTGAAATATATTTGACATAAGACCGTGTAAATTTAAGGTATACAACATGTTAATTTAATATAGTTATATATTATAGTATGACTGCCATTGTAGCGATAATTAGCACCTCTAGCGCGTTACAGAATTAGCCTTTCTTTTTAGTGATTGACATAATTAAATTCTCATCCAGTGGCCTTTCTTTGAGTGGCAATCCCCTCCTTTCCCTTTTATAAGGGAAATTCCTCCATCGAGTTTGCACAGGGTTGGCACACAATAGGTGATCCATAAGTGCAGTTTAGGCCCATTTGTATATTTATGGTGCCCACCAAGGGGGTTGGTTTTGGGGGTCCCTCTCTTACCCACCCCACCCACCACCACTCCTTTGTGGGAACCCCTCTTCCTACTTCCTAAAGGCCCGCTGTCGGGAAGAATTTTCCACAAGAAACTCTTTGGATCGGTTCTTCCTGCCTTCGAGGATGAGCCAGACGTTCTCCCTGGTTTCGCCTCCGTTGCCCGTTTCTATGACGATCTCATAGGCTGCGGTGGAGAAGGTGGGAGAGGGTCAGCTGGGGTGAAGTACCCCCCACCGGTGGCTTCCAGGTCCCCCATCTGATCTTAGACCACAGCCTGGGGGCAGGTTGAAGTCTCCACAATGAGGAGAACTACAAGGAGAACCTGCCCCCTCTGGGGCTACTGTAAGCACCTCTTTTAGTTATAGAGCAACCGCTTTGCCTAGTGACCATGGCTGTGGCTGGGAGTGAAGCGGGAGGAAGCAGCAGGTGGGGATGAGTTTTGGGAGAGGTGCTGGGGCCTGGCTCTCAAGGATGGACAGCCCCCAAGATGCAAAACGGAGATCAGGAGCAGAGAGAGGGAGGAAAGAGGAAAGAGGAAAGGGACAGGGAAGCCTGGGCAGGCCAGACTCCGCGAGAGCCTTGAAGTTTGTGCACAAGCATCAGGTCTTGCCCGGTCTCAGTTCTCACTCTGGTGTCGCCCTAAGCACCACTGCCCTCTTCCCCTGCACTGCCCTCAAGCAGGTCTGCATTCACTCGGCAACATTTGTTATGTGGGTGCCAAGTGTCAGGAGGCGGCTAGGTTCTGGGGGACACTGGAACTCCCTCTGTAGCCCCAGACACACATTGACTACCACAGCCCCCAGAAGGAATGTGCTAATCTTGCAAAAAAGGGCAGAAGGAGCTCAGGGCGAGAGGAAAAATCAGCAGCTTATTACCTCTCCAACCCCATCTTCTCGTATTTTCTCCCTTGCTCCCTCCGTGCACTCTGCCTCCCTGCTGTCCCTGGAGCTCTGGGGCGTGCCCTCATTCCCAGTGCTGCAGCACTGCCCCCCTTGCTCTCTTCACCCACACCAGCTTGGCTCAGCCTTCACCTCATCCTTGCTCATGGAGGTCTGCCTCAACCCCCCTAATTAAGATAGCAACCCCACTGCCCCCAGCACTCCTGGCCTGCCTTCAGGTGCTCCATATTTTTCTCTTCTCTTTATCACTTGTTACCTCGTAACATGTGATGTAGTTTGCTTATTATTTTACTATTTATTGTACTCTCCCTCCCATCTGGATGTAAGCTCCATAAGGGCGGGGCGGGGGGGAATTCTTCGTTTTGCTCACTGATAGATCCCAAGTGCCCAGAACAGTGCCTGGCACCACAGGCACTCAATACATATTTGATGAGCAAATGAATGAACGATTGGGCCACAGGAAGCCTCAGGAAGGAGGCAGCATTTGAGCCTGCGCTCGAAGAAGAGCGATGATGACCATCGGCAGAAAATGCAGGGAGGTTCTAGGCAGAGGGAGGAGCACAAGCAAAGACTGAGGGGGTGAGGAGGGCTGGGAGTTCACATGAGCCAGCTCCCGCGCCCCAGGGACCTGGCCAGAGATGGAGCTGTCCAAAGTGTCCCCCGTGCATGTGGCTCTTGCAGCAGTAAAGGAATCACTGAGGGTTTGGGATTCTGTATGCAAAGGACAGCTCCGCTTCTGCACCTTTCTCCCAGAGATGTGATACAGACAACGGAGAGAAGGCGAAGCTGTGCCTGCAGCTCAGTGTAATGCTAGCCCTTCTGCCCTTGTGACTTCTCTCGAGGGGAGTGTCTACTGCTGAGACGGGTGGAATGAATCTGGACAAAGGGGCAGGTAGCCAGTGATAGGGGTGGAGAGCCACAGAGAGCACACAACTCCTGAAGAAGGTGAGGCTCTGGGGGTCTGTACAAATTCCAGCCCAGGACACTGAGGACCTGTGATGGCTGAGCCATTGTCAGGTCCCACTGCCATTCTGCTTTCCCCACAGAGGGTGGGGTGAGTTCTGCAAACCCAACACCTGGGAATTCCAAGGGGATCCTGGGCTTTGTTGAGGAAATGGTTTGTTGGCACCTAGGGGAGGAGGCAAGGGAGATAGGAACCTACAGGCTCACTAGGTGAACTCAAGTCAGAGATTCAAGAACCACTGTAGATGGAGTGCAAATGGACCATAATCCTTCCCTGTTGGTCCTGAGGGTAAGATAGCAAAGTAAGGTGTGTCAGCAAGGACATTTAGAGAAAGTTTCAATGAATATAGTTCACCCTGTCTTCTTTCCCGGTATTTCATCCATGGCTTGATAAAAATGTGGCGGGCATGACTCTCGACTTTGTGTATATGTTGCTGGGGGGAAATGGACGGAGGAGCATCAGGGGCCTGAAGGAATGGGGCAGGTGGGAATGGTGAGCCCAGGCTAGTGGCCAGCACACCCACAGGGCAAGCCTGGCTGGGGAAAGGAGCTCAGCAGCTACAGCATGAGTCGCCAGCACAAAGGGGCCACCAGCAAAGCCATCATGGGCTCTGGGGGCATGAGTGGGTTTCAAGTGGCAAGACAGGAGAGGGGAGAGCAACCACCCTTGAAATCTTGTTCTTGGGCATGGCATCTGCAGAGGAAGATGAACAAGAAATTCAGGATATCCCATCATGTGAGCAGTTGCTGAATAAACAGGTGTTTGTCCTGAGGCAGGAACTGCAGGGGCACATGATGCTGGGGAGTGCCAGAAGGAGGACACTGGGCTCCTGGAACTTGTTGTTCCAGATCACCTTTCCCACCTCACATTGTCAGGGAGGACTCCTGCTTTGTGGTTCAGATGGCCAGTCAGAATCTTCCCTTGGGAGACACTGTCTTCTCTTCCACTGAGAATGTTAAGTAGAAAGCTATGGGATTGGGCCTACCAGCGACCATCTTCCCACAATGTAGAGAAAGAAACAGAGCTGAGAGAAATTGGAGACAGAGATGTACTGAAATGACTGGAGCCTCTGGAGACAACCAAGTTGAAGCCAGCTCCACCTGAGACTTCCAAGTTCTGGGAACCAACACATTCCCTCTTTGCTAGAGCCAGCTTAGATTTGGGGTTCAGGCACAAACAACCAAGAGTCCTGACCGCTCCTGAAATTTTCTGTTTGACTCCACTGGGACTCCCAAAGAATGGGAGCTTTGAGAACTTGAGTATGAAGATGGATTTTCTAACAGAGCTGCCTGGTGAAGCAGTGAGTCCTCCATCCCTGGGGAGTTGGTCATCAAACGGGACTGTATCTGGCCTAGAAATGTTGTAGATTAAGGCTGACTGAGCAGCCCTAAAAGATGTCAAGGGAGGGAGAACAGGAAGGAGAAGCACTGTGAAGAGGGGGGCACTGGTCCTGCTGGAGGATGTCCCAGTGAGAGAGAGCCTCCCAGGGGTGTGTGCTTACGTGTGTGTGCGTGTGCATATGTGTATGTGTGTGCATGCATGTGCACACACGAGCATGTAATCCTACTGCTCAGTCCTTACTCTGGATTAACTGCAACAGAATCTGGGAGTAGGACCCAGATGTCGTTGTTATTTAAATGTTGCTGAAGGCTTTCAGCTTTGCTGCACACTGGAATCATCTGCAGAGGCAGGTGCTTGCAGAGGGCTGGGAGCAGCTTCTGGAACTGCTAACAAGAGTTAGAGGTGAAGGCAGAGAACAAGGGTTAAGTCAGGTGGGGCAATTGACCCATCTGGAGACCAGCCAAGCCCAATAAAGACGAGAGAGCCTGCAGCAGGGCAGTGAGTCCTCGTCTAGGAATCAGGTCCCCTGGGTCCTACCAGCTGTGAATGGGCCTTAGTTGTGTCATTTCACCTTTCTGGGTTTTTGTTTTCCTTACCCATGGTATAGAGGTATGAATTTGTACCCACCCTATGGGGTGGGAGTAGAGCTGTGAAGACCTAACGAGAACAGAGGTGTAGAGTGCTTTCCACAGATGAAGTTCTGTTCGAGTACTGAGAGGGTGTTTGTTCTCACAAGCTGAGTACCCAGAAGCGCCCCGGGGGTCACAGACACTGAGAGTAAATGCCACCAGGGCAGGGTCTTGGTTTCATCCATTGGTGTGTCCCAGACCTCAGAAGAGGTTGTGGCACTTGGCAGGTGCTCAGTAAATCTTTACCAAATGGTTAGATAAAGGTAGCTGAGGATTGGGATGTTTGGCTCCAGCTATGTCCAAGGCTCTCCCCAGGGTGACCCTCCATCTGAGGACACAGGTATGGTCATCTGTCTCCCCATGGACACCTAGAGGGCACCGCTCTGCCCTCCGAGGCCTCTAAGGAAAGACAAATCACCCAGGCTGGCTCCTGGGCTCCATGCCCCTGCTGTCCAATCTCCAGTCTGTAACATCCTTCCGGAACTAACGCAAGCGCTGCCTCCCCTCAGCAATCTCCCTGCCAACCCAAACCCCGCAGGTCTTAGCAGCTGTTTGGCAGGAAATCTGTGAAGAAGGCTCAGTGATTATGCTCTGAGCCGCACAAATCTCTCCTCCCCTGAACGCCAATAGCCTGAGGAGCCTCTATTGCTCTTCTTGGCAGTATGTAAGGGGCTTAAGCGTTCCTATTGCATAAGGGGCTTAACGCTTCTCCCTCTAACAAGACATGAGGCTCTTCTTCCGTTTGCTGAGCACTAACTGCACACTTACCAAGTCCCAAAGCCTACAGAGCTGCAGAAGGCTACAAACATGAGTGACTCTGTCCCTGACCTCTGGGAGCTTCTAGTTGTATGGGAGACTAACCATGTGCAAAGGCTGATACAAATAAACTGGAGGTCACAAAGCAGTGTGCACTACTCACAGCATCTATAATGAAGCTGGGCACCCGGTAATTCCTCAGTAAGTGTGGCGTCCACCCTCTGAATTAGGGAGGAATCCTTGCACGGTAAGCCTGACAAGGGGGTGCTTGGCCCCTCCTTTGGATGCTCCCTGGGACATAGTGCTCACTATCTCTAGGAGCAGTTAATTTCACAGTTGGGTAGTTTGGATGGTGTGGCCAACATGAGTGGGTGGCTTTCTACCAGAGATCCATGCTCTCCTTCCTTGGTATACAGTTTTTTCCCCTGGGAGGGGCTGTCCAGCAAGGGACTACATTTCCCAGGTGCCCTTGCATCTAGGTGGAGCCAAGTGATCAGTTCTCACCAGTAGGAAGTGAGTCAATTTGTTAAGAAGGTAGGGGAGCATGCCTTCTCCATGCTCTTTTCCCTTTTGCGAGAACTATGGGAGCCATATTTTGAAAATGGCAGAGACATAGATCAAAAGAGCCTGGGGCCCTGAAACACAGTGTGGAAGGTCTCCTGCCAGTAACCACACTGGACGGTTTATTACATGAGTGAGAGATACATTTTGGTTTGTTAAGCCTTGAAATTTGGGGGCTCGCCTCTTACTGCAGTTAACATTACCTTAACAACTGAGGTTAAAAATCCTTTCTTTACACTGGGCTCTGCCTTTGATAAGACTTCTTCGAATCTGCTGAACCCAGACACTGTATTAAAGAAACAACTCCCTAGTCCTGGGATGGCCATCCACTTTACGGATCCATTACTTTTTCCCTTTAAATATCCCATGAGGATCAAAGAAAGTGGCTGCTGGAGATGCTGACTCCAATACACATTCTGTTTCCAGAAGTCTTGATTTGTCAGCTCTTGCCACAGGCACCAATTGTATGGAGCCCGTGATATAAAAATAAACCAGAGACAGAGCTTCCCACCAAAGTGCCCAGCCCAGCCCTCAGGGCAGGGTGAACTTGTCCCCTGTGGTTTTCCTGCTACCTAATTAGTCCCTGTGACTGGGGCCAAGATCGAGGACCAGTGTCTTGGCTGTTCCAAGTTCACCAATATTTAGGGTGTTTATTTATGTACCTTCCCAACATTCTTTCCTTCATTGGACATCTGATTCCCCTCCAGCTATAAGTCTCCACTTCAGATTTACCAACGCCGTTCCCCACCCCCCCTCCTGAGCCTCCTCTCATTTAATTCTGAAGACTCAGCCCACGAGTCACACCTGCCCCCCACGTACTGGTCTCCTCCAGCTCATCACGGATCTCGTTGTTGGCACAGGCGAAGTCACGGAGCGTCTGCCTGTCTCCCTCCCTCCTGGAGAGCCAGCAGTCGCACTGGAAGTGGAAGGTCTCATCACGCGAGTTGTCCTTCACGTTGATGTAGCTCAGGTGCCAGCCAGGAAAGATCCCTGTGGGAAAGACACGGTGGGGACCGGGAGCTGAACATGCTGCCCCCCTTTCAGCTTTCTGCTGCCCCCAGCCCACTGGCCGCGCAGCCCCACACAAATTCTCTGTCCTCTGTGGGCCTGGCTTTCCTTGTTGATGAAATGAGGAGGTGGGCTAGATGGTCTCTGAGGGCTTCTCTAGCCCTGGGCATGTAATTCTCTTTGCAAAATCCTTAGCTTGGGGTTCATGAGCCCTTAGAGGATCTGTGTATGGAAATGAAGCAGTCTAAGGGCCTGGAGAAATTGTGCTGTAATTACACATTTCACCAGGGAGAGGGCTCATAGCTTCCATCAGATTCACAATGGGGGCCACTGACTTTTTGGGAGTTCACACAGCTGAAGGATGAATCCTATTACTTCCTGACACTAGTATGCACCTGACTCATGCCCGTTATCCTTCCAGAATCAGTTCAGGCATCACCTCCTCCGGGAAGCCTTCCCTAGCATCCCCTGATTGCCCAGTAGACCTGTATCTGGCATCCCTGCACCTGCCTTGACCACACCCTGACCACCCCGTGTCATCATTGTTTACATGTGTCTCCTCCCCTGACCATGAGCTTTTGGGGGAAGGGACCTGGTCTTATTTGTTTTTGTTTCCCTAATGCCTGGCATATTGACTGTCATGTAGTATCTGCTCCATGAATGCTGGATGTATATGTTACGACTTTGAGGACCTTGGCTCTTCAGCAGTCATAGAAGGGATTCGAAGCTGCTATTTCTTCAGGGTATACGTTAAACTTGAAAGGTCTTGGCCTAATATTGAACATACAGCTATTTCTGTTATAACTGGCAGGGCTTCCCTCAGAAGTGCTCCCCCCAAATCACAGCTATCAAGTATAAATCTCTGTGCATTTGCTGTGGCAGCTGCGTATTATTTGTACCACACACTGATTCAGTTACTCTCCACCCTTCAAACTCCCTGAGAACTCTGAATGCCAAAGCACCCATCACATGTGGGGGGAAATCCGGTTGTGTGACAGGTTATGGTGATGGTGCAGGCTGCTCATAAATTGTCCACAAGACAACCTCGCAAGGAAGGCATGTATATGCCCAACTCTCATGTCTTGCCCTCCCATGTCACCTGGGTGTGTGGGGGCGGTCCCATGTCCCCACCAAAAAGCCATTCTCTAGGACTGGACACTGCCCTCAGCAATACCTGTAGATCCTACTGCTAGTCTCAAGGGTCTTAGAAGCACAAAGAAACACAAAGATGGACACACACTTCTAGTCCCTCAGACTTCTGGGGGTGTGGAGGGTAGATGTGGAGGCTCCCGGGCAGGGCATACATACTGGCAGTCCTAGGATAGCCTAATTCTGGGTTTAAAAAGCACTTAATATAGCTTTTAATTTATTTTTATTTTTTATTTTTTAAAGATTTGATTTATTTGACAGAGACACAGCGAGAGACGGAACACAAGCAGGGGGAGTGGGAGAGGGAGAAGCAGGTTTCCTGCTGAGCAGGGAGCCCGATGCGGGGCTCGATGTGGGGCTTGATCCCAGGACCCTAGGATCATGACCTGAGCTGAAGGCAGATGCTTAACAACTGAGCCACCCAGGCGCCGCACTTCACATATTTTTTTAAACATAGATCTTTACTGAAGTAGAAACCCATGAGTGCTAAAACAATTATGTTAAAATTTAAAACACTTCTGTTGAGTTAAACAGTGGTGAGTAATTTTATCAATAAACTTAAAAAAATCTCAATAATATTTTTACTTTTCCACACTGGGGCCAGTTCTGTAAGATTATAAATTGGCTGCTTTCTGAGATGGTCCCTGATAATATCATGAAACTGATTCAACTGCTTAATAATCCCTGGTGTGTTCAGTCTGGAAGTGATGCACAGGAGACCTATCGGAGCAGTCCTTACAGGCTTCCAGAGTGGAGCAGAGAAAGGGAGAGGCAAGTAAAAAGGAAGGCAGAAAAAGAGAAGCCAAAATGTTGGGCCTCTTGGAAGGTGTGTGTGTGTGTGTGTGTGTGTGTGTGTGTGTGCATGTGCGCGTGTGTGAGAGAGAGAGATGGTTTCTGCTATCCAGACCCTACCCAAATCAACTATAATAGAATCTCTGAAGTAGGAGCTAGGCATCAATGGTCTTTACAGCTGCCCAGTGATTTCAATGAATAGCAAGGCTGAGAACTAGGACCTGCACTGTAATCACCTGGGCCCCCCTCCTGGAGATTCGGATTGAGTGGGTTTGTAGTGAGGTCCAAGAATTTCCATCTCTAACTAGTTCCTAGGTCATGCTGATGCTGTTGGTCCCAGAGCCACACCTTGAGAATCACTGGCTTAATGATCTCTCCTGACTCCAGGATGATGGTCTTGCTATGACATCATAACAAAATGATCAATGGGAGTCAATGGGAATTATAAATGTGTGAGAGTGTGTGTATGCATGAGTGTTAGTGGAGAGGGATGATATTAATTGGAGAGGTGGGTCATCACGAGATCATTTCTATTGCCGAACACACTATTCACCCTGCTTCTCACTCCAAGTAGATTTCACTCCTGAATTACTCCCTGAATTCCAGGCAGGGTGGTGACAGTGAGCTGAGGGACAGTGTGGATTCGGAGCGGCTTTAACTTTATCCACAGACAATTCAGTGCTATAATGTAGGGGTGAAGACAACCAGAGAGAAAGAATGTGCCTAGCCCGGGTTGCCCTGATGCTTGGTTGCTTCTCTTCCCACACTTCCCTCTTTCCCCTGTCCTCAGAAAGCATGGCATTGTCTCACCAATCCCCAATTCTCTTTAAGTAGAAGTTCTGAAAAACAAACAAACAAAAACCCTCCTTCCATGGTAAATAGCAGTCTAACCCCAACTCCTTTAAGATGAAAGAAACTTGTCCTCAGCTCTTTTCTCATTGCTGATTTAGTTGCCTTGTTTTAGAAATGTTCAATGTGATTGACAGGCATCCTATCACAACTAACTCTACTAAGAATCTATCAGACATGTAGCTGTAAACAGGCAGCTCTGGGCAGGCTGATGTCATATGGTTGGCTTTTACTGGTGAAGACAAAGCCACAGTTACAGCTTGGTTAACAGTGTGGCCAGCACTAGCCTGATGGTGGAGACCCTGCATAACCCTGTGGACCAACAGGGAACCATCTGAGACCTACAATTAGAGAGTCTGTTTCTTTACAAAGTCTCCTCTTTTTAAAAATTTGTTTATTTGAGACAGAGAGAAGGAGAGACTGCTTGTGCAAGAGAAAGCATGAGCAGGGGAAGGGGCAAGAGGAAGAGGGAGAAGCAGGCTCTTTGCTCAGATGCGGGACTTGATGCTAGGACCCTGGGATCATGACTTGAGCTGAAGGCAGATGCTTAACTGACTGAGCCACCCAGGTGCCCACAAAGTCTCCTCTTTTAAAGTTATACTTTATCTTTTTTACACAAAGACAGTAACCCCGCACTGCTGGACATCATACCTTTTCACTCATAGCCAATCCATATCAGAACATATCTGCCCCATCCTCTTTCATAGTTGTATGGGTTTCCTTTCCATGCAGACACTAGAAATTATGTATGCACACACTACCTTGTGGACAGATAGTTGTTCTCCAGATTTTTACTCCTATACTTGATGCTACAGTTATTATCCTTCCACGTATATCATAGTGAACTCTTTAAATCATAGATCAAATTTTGTGGTAAAAAGATTCTTCATGGGGCACCTGGGTGACTCAGTTAAGCATCTGCCTTCAGCTCAGGTCATGATCCTAGAGTCTCAGGATTGAGCTTCGCATCTGGTTCCCTGCTCAGCTGGGAATCTGTTTCTTCCTTTCTCTCTCCCTCTGCTCCTCCCCCTGATAGTTCTCTCTCTTCCTTTCTGACTCTCTCTTAAATAAATAAAATCTTTTAATAAATAAAATCTTAAAAAAAGGTTTTTCATTTCCCCAGAGTTTTCATCAGAGAAAGCAAGAGAGCAAGATAAATTAGAAAATAAACACAGTATGTTATAATTTGTTTAGTATTAGAAAAGCTATATAGGTAATTGGAATTAAAGGGAAGAATAAATCATTTACCCTTATTTTCCTATCTGGACTGTATTTCATGGTAATCATGGGAGCATTTTTTTAACAAAAGAATTGTAGCTAATAAGTGGATAAGAAAGGGCAATTAGATAATCACTATTTGTAATCCTAATTGATCATCACTGGATGAAGCCATTAGATGAACAGTTACTGGGGGGGGGGGGTAACCGTACTGACAGTCCCTGGATCCACTATTCAGTGTGAGCATCAAGAAGAGTAGGATGGCTGTGAGGTAATGGGAAGTACATGGTTCCATTTTAAAGAAGTCCTGAGGTCACCTATAGAGTATTCTTGCCAAAGAAAGTTGAACCTGAATCCAAGCATGCCTTTAGAGCTGACTTCCAGATTGTAGGAAATACAGGGAATCAAGAGGCAAAGACGCTATGATAAGCAGACAGACAGGTCCAGAATGCAGACATTCTATAGATCACTGGGCCCAATCCTTTCCACAAGCCAATGGCATGACAAAACAAAGGGAGTAGGCATGCTCTGCATTTGAAGATAATGAAGAGAGATGGCAGCTAAACGTAGAGCATGGACCTTGTTTGCATCCAGATTCAAGCAAACCCAAAAGTACAAAGGCATTTTTTATGTTAAGGAAATTTGCATATGGAGTAGAAATCGGATGACACAAGGAAATCATTGTTAAGTGCGATAGTGGCATTGTGTTTCACTTAAAAATGTCCATTTTGAAAAGGGAAACATACTAAACATGTTTGGGATGAAATAATATGAAGTTAGGGTTTGATTTTATACCATCTAGCAACAAAAAGGAATTAAGAAGGAAAAAGAAAAAGTGAAAAGAGGAAAGCAGATATGACAAATCATGAATGTTGAATCTGTGTGATGGGTATATGGGGGTTCATTATACCATTTTCCTCACTTTTGTGCATCCTTACAATTTTTTATTAAAAAATTACTGGATTAAAAAAAGATGGAAAGGTAGATTCAAGGAAAGGAGATGACTGCCATGCTATTAAGTTAACTAAACGTTTGTAACTTAACTTATGTGGCATCACAACTTTTTTTGTGCAAGGCTCTCGAATGAAATATTTTTGTCCTCATAAATTGCTATGCAAGGGAAGCATAATGTAGCTTGAATATTTTTAAACTAAATATGAAAAAATGTGGCAGAGAGAGAGAGCTTAAGGACATATTTAGCTGCCTTGGTTTATATTAACATTTAAGCTTCCATCTATGGAGGAGAAAGTTACTATAAAGAGGAAGCTAGGCACAGAACCTGGACTTCCCTGTACCTCTCCTGACCCTAGTATCCCAACCACCTGGGTTCACTGAGGATACAGACAGACATCTTCCTTTCCCTGCTTTCAGATCCAAAGTCTGAATGGAGGGGAGGAGGCCCACTTTTCTGCCTACAAAAGAAAGCGGAGAACATCTGTGCCCTGGGGTTAGCCAGAAGCCCTTATGGGACCAAGGCAATCAGATAGTCTTGAGTTATCCAAGGGAGGAATCAGGGTCTTTGAAGAGCATGCCACCTAAACCACAGTAGTAGCAACACACAATACAGCTGGACCTATAAGGAGCTGTCCGTGGTGCTGAGCTGCTTCCCTTTACTTTTGACAGTGAGGATACACAAAATGATTGGCTGTCAAGTTTATGCATAGAAGATAAATGCATCAAGAAAAATGAGGTCTAGATATGTGCATAGTTAGTGTTGGGGGCAAGGTGGGGAAGTCGGTATTAGTGGACCTAGTCATGACCCTGAGATTCGTGGCCAGGACCTAATTTTTTAACGTATTAAGGCATGGGGAAAAAGTCTGATTCCAGAGCAATGTGGGTTTCCTGTGACTGAGGCATGAAAAAAATCAGGAATGGATCTGAGAGAGTGAAACGTGGCTATAAATAAATTCAATTAAAACTATATTAAGTCCTGGGGCACCTGGGTGGCTCAGATGGTTCAGCGTCTGCCTTCGGCTTAGGTCATGATCCCGGGGTTCTGGGATCGAGTCCCGCATCGGGCTCCCTGCTTGGCAGGAAGCCTGCTTATCCCTCTGCCTCTTTCTCTCTCTCTCTCTCTCCCTCCCTCCCTCTCTCTGTCTCTCATGAATAAATAAATAAAATCTTTAAAAAAAAAAAAACTATATTAAGTCCCTACTATAGTACAGGCAATGTGATAGGCATTAGGGAAAGAGCAATGAACAAGACAATGGTGTAATTAGGTGCTAAGCTTGAATTCTAAAATTTGTCTAGAAACATAGGACATTTTCTAACTGATGGAAGTGTCCAAATGGTGGCAATCAACAGTTTTTAGTTGTCTGCCACCCTGGGGTAGAGGGGTCAACATGCTGCCAGCGGGATGGTGGAAAGCTGAGGTCTGTTATCCCCACCACCCTGACCTTGAGCAGGAGCTACCTTTGTTGTCATGCCACACCCTCAGCTTGCAGAGGTGGCCCAGGCTCAGCATGTCAGAGAAGTTGAATGAGTCTGTGTTGTTCCGCTCAAACTTGTTCCAGTTGTCTGACTGCTTCAGGGCCAGGGTCCCGCTGTCCCCATTCTCCCCGAAGATGATGATGTACACATTGGCGTCAGTGCCTGCTCCTAGGGGGTGCACAAAATAAGGACTTTGGGTGCTAGCTTCTCCAACACACAGCCCACTTGCTCTGGTTTCCATCCTGGCTTCCTTGGAGGAACCAGTGGTGCAGATGGGAAGTTTAGCTTTGATGAGGCCAGTGGGGAGTTTGGAAAGGGCTGATTAGTTTACTGGGACTCCTGGGTCTCCAATTCTATCCTTCATCTTATCTCTGTGCCTTATAAATGCTATTGGGCTAACTGGAGTCCTGGTTAGCAAGCGTGAGTAGTTTAGTGCAAAAACTCATTTATTTTTGGGGAAATACACCCATACTTAAAAGGTGTGCCATGAAGACTGGATTTGCAGTTTAGAAATTCAGGCTCTTTCCGGCACAACGTGGGTTCAGGAGGAAATAGGAAAGTTCTTTGTTCCCCAGATCTAACCCTGGTTGACAGTCTATACTAGAGCTTTGTATCATTTGCTTGAGCCAAATAGAGGTATTGAACCTAGTTAAAAAGAAAATGTTTCTGGAAAAGGTAGCTCGATGAAGCTTTTCTGACACACACACACCCTACAGTTATCAAGGGACTTATCAACTATTTTCTGAGAACACATTATGAGGGGATTTGGGGATGGGAAACATGTGGACACTTGGAACTTTTAGCAAAAATCATGAAGCCTCCACTGTTAGAAGAAATGAAGAAGAGAGGTGCCAACAAATTTACCCACCATGCAGACCCATCACTTACGCCTGAGATCCTACCATGAAAGCCTAATTTCTTTGGCTAAACGCTTCTCTGTTGAAAATTGTAAGCTATTAGGACCAACAAGTTAATCCCTCACTAGTCATTTATAATCAGCGCAAATGAGTTTGTCACATTCCTTACAACAGCTCCTGGAGAACAGGTTTGATATAGAGAAGGACAGGTGGGACACAATGCCTCCATGATGAGGTGTGTTCCCTCTCAACCTCAGGCCTTTGCACACACTAGCATCTTTGCTTGGAAAGCCCTTCAGCAGGTGTTCCATCTGCCTCAGTGGCTTCTGTTTGTCTTTCTGCACCAGACTTTGGTATCACCTCTGGGAAGCCCTCCATGACCCTTGCCCCTGATCCCCAGCTAGGTAAAGCACCCTCTTCTGGGTTCCCCAGCTCCTGTGCAGACCTCTGTCAGAGCTTCACTGTCATTGTTCTACTAGAATGTCAGACTCACAAGCACCCAGGGTCATTTCTCCATCCTAAGACTCTAGGCCAAAGTTGGCACACAGAAGATGGTTGCCAAACACATGTGGGAAGGAACCCAAGGGCATCTGAGATGCACAGCACGGAGGTGAGGGGCATGAGGCAGCAGCAGGAAGACAGAGGGCCTCTGAGTCATGCTCCCACACAGTTTTCAAAAGTGCTGACCATAGTGCCCAGTCAGGTTTTCCCAGACCTCCTTGAGGGAGGAGGGGCAGAGCCAATTCAGTCACTGGGAGGAAATACTTTGTCTGGACAGAAAGTGACACATGGTGGAAAGGACTTGCGTTGACTAACATTTGAAACGTCAGACAAAGAAAAGTGAGAGCCTGACCAGGGCCCAGGACCTGAGCCAGAATTTGAGGAAGGGCAAGGGAAGTGGGATGTGGGACTGGGAGATGGGAGGGACGCCCTGACTCACCCAGGATGTCGCTGGTCTTGACTGAGACAGTGTAGGACGTCCACTCCATCATCTCCTCCCCATCAACGACAGCGCACATTTCACACACGAGGGTCTTCTTGCCCTTCCGCTGGGACAGCCAGTCTCCATAGTAGAACATGGTCAGGTCTCCAGTATTCATGTTCTTCAGGAGGATCTGGGGAAGAGGAGCCAGTGTGGGCACACCCTCCCTCACCTCCACCAGCTGTCCACCTGCAAATGCAGCCCCCTTGGCTGAATGCCAAGGACCCACGATTCCAGACCCAAGATGAATTCTTCTGACTAAGACTCTCCAGCACAAAGACCCTGCCCGGTATGCCTTGCATAGGGTCTGAAGCCCCTTAGTTTGGGGATTTGGAAATGGAAAATTCATCCAAACATGTTTCTGAGAGGTACCTGTCACTGTGCACAAAAAAGTTTGTTGAATGAATGACAGAAAAACGGGCCAACCAAACCACTATCAGCCACAAATACCTGAAGTTAGCCAAGTTGTCCTTGGTGTGGGCACCCATATTGTTGGCTCAAGAAAAATCTGCTACTGGGCGCCTGGGTGGCTCAGTTGGTTAAGCGACTGCCTTCGGCTCAGGTCATGATCCTGGAGTCCCGGGATCGAGTCCCGCATCGGGCTCCCTGCTCAGCAGGGAGTCTGCTTCTCCCTCTGACCCTCTTCCCTCTCGTGCTCTCTATCTCTCATTCTCTCTCTCTCAAATAAATAAATAAAATCTAGAAAAAAAAAAAAAAAAAGAAAAATCTGCTACTGGCTGAAGAGGGGAGTGGGGGCCTGAGGGGACTCGGGACAGATAGCCTTTGGTGGCTGGGCGATTTGAGGACTGAATCAGGGAAAACAGAGTCCAAGATGGAAAAAGAGGCAGCCACCCAATGTGTGATCACAGGGCACCAAAAGCTCCCTGCCATCCTGCCGGAAGTGCCCAACATCAGAGCCTCTGCTGCCCCGGTTCTCGCTGTTCCTCTCTCAGTCCTCCCAATTTACCTCCTCCAAGAAGTACACGCGAAGTCTCTGTCCACATTATACTGACAGCGCATTCTGGACACAAATAACTAAAACTACATTCTCTGGTTAATTCATGCCAAAGGGCACACTGGATTACACAGGTCTGGTTCATGTTCATAACCCTCTAAAGTGACATTTGCTCTTTAACCAGGTCCACCGACAACCCAAAAGAGCGGGAGGGAGGGCTAGGCTATGGGTGGAAGGAAGACATTTTACCCTCTCCAGGAACCACTCAGGCCGGCAGCCCAGGCCATCAATTCGGATCCGCATCTTGGTGAATGGAGCGATGTCCAGAATCTCCATGATGAAGGTGTCATTCTGCTCCCGCTCAAATCTGGGGGAAGAGAGTAAGGGCATGAAGTGAGGATGCTGGCTACAGTGAGGAGGCAAGGGGAGGCTCCCAGTGACTCCCCAAGAGTCTGTCTCTTGCACCCCAGATGTGTTCCTGAAAGACTGGGTGAAGCGTGTTTGGCTGATAGCAATGACCCTGAATCAGGCTCTGGGTCCTACTCTCATTCTGCTAGCCTCCTAGAGCAGTCCAAGCTTCTCTCTGGGACTTGGTTTCCTCATCCTTAGTCTGGGGGAAATGATACTGGCCCTGCAATCTCATAAAACTGTCAGGAGAATCAAATGAATGTGACATCAACTTAAAATGTAAAAGGAATTCCATACCTGCAAAGCTTCAGATGAGATTCTAGGAGCGACAGGGCTGCCATGAATGGTGGGGCAGGTTGTACACTGCTCAACTCTAGATGGTACCATTTACATTTTTCTATACACAATCTGCAAAACTAAATGCAGTGGCCTGAGATTAGGTAATGCTACCAATAACTAGTAAATGGCAGGCAAATCGAAGGTAACATTGCTTTTGTTGCTATTACTATTTTTCTGCTGAATGACCTCATCATCTCAGAGGTGCTCTATCTTGATGTCTTACTGCTCTTCCTACAGGGTTACATGTATAATGCAACCTTTAGTGCTGATTGCTTGACTGCTGACTGATTCCAGATGCTGCTGCTGATAAGCCCTTGGGGGTAACGCAAGTGGCACTGAAGATAGGGCGCTGCATGGTAATTGTGCTTCCTTGTATACAAGACACACGTTTAAAACCAGAGGCCACAGCCAGCGGGCGTTGGGACTGAAAACGCTGCAAACCAAGAACTACTCCTGGTCTTAGAGGCAGTGGTGGAACAGAGACCTAATCTTTTTAAATAACTTACTCATGTGTATTTTATGATGATTAGAAGTGAAAACATTCTCCCAGAAGTCTGCCCTAAATCCCTCCTGTTCTAATTTAAGCCCTGCCTGTCCTGGCCCTGTGGAAACTAGAAGGAGGTGTTCACAAGTTCCCTCGTCGAGCTCATATCACATACTGAGATTCTCTCAAATAATCTTTCAACTAGTTGATTCCTCACCAGGTGTATAATTTTGCAGATCTAGGGAATGTTAGAATTCTTTGCTTTGTGTTTCTCTTTAATTTTCACCCTTTGAATTTAGCCAAGTAGTCCCACTTTATGGAGATTTTTTTGGTGGGGCAGGTATAAAAGGGAGAAAGAAATAAGCTTTTCTTCCAGAAGACTAAAGAGTGGATGTCTCTGTCCCCTCACCCTTTATTACAGGCTAGACCCCCGATTACACCTGGATGGACCTCCTTTTCTCAGGGTAAAAGGCCCATATCCAAAGCGAAAACCCCTCATGGCCCTTCATCCCTCTACGACTCACTACCCACATCTTTCCTGCTGCCCCGGACCCCCTCAAGACACCTGAGCTGACACGCAGGAAGGCTCCTGCATTGAGGGGCCACCTCAATCAGAGGCGGTCAGCGGTCTGTGACCGCTGCATCATAAAATACACATGAGTGCAACTTTTGGCCGCCCCTCAATCCTTTCCTGTTCTGGTTTCCTTCTGTTCCCTGCCCCCCACCAAAGGCTGTCCTTGGGAAAGGACCTAGCACCCACTCGCTCACTGGTCTCTGTGACTTAGAACAGCCGGAGAGCTAACCAGGGCCAAAGCATTTGTGTGGAAAAGCAGCTATTCAATGGAAGAATTTTATTCATTGCTAAGAAGCTAGGGAAGGTTTGCGGGTAGGGAGCCTGAGAAGGGGATGGCTGGAAGACAGGGAAGAAGGGTGTGGGGTCCAAAGCTGGCCTCACCGGGGCTGCTGCTTAGGCAGTCTGCCTTTGTGCCTGTAGAGGCGTGGCTGGGGCTCTCGGGAATGGCCGGGGTCAAAGCCTCTGCTGCAGCTTCAGGCTAGACCTAGCTGCTTCCAGGCAGGACTCTCTACTCCGAGGGCCATCTAGTTCATGGCCTGTTGTCTCCAGTGACAGGCCCCCCGTCAGCCTGGTGCAGCTCTTTCCCTCTTTGGACAGCTGTGGCCAACTCCTAATACGTTTGGTTTACACTGAGCTGGGCCTTGCCTCACGGGCCCCAGCTCTGCCCACCAGAGCTTATGTTTTCATTGTCAACAGTTCGGCCACACTCGGTGCCTCTACTCCCCTCCCCAGCCCTGTGCAGCAGGTCATCTGACCTCTCTTCTCTGGGCCTCCATCAATGGAATACTAGGCGGTAGTGAAAATGAGCAAATTGCAGCCACACTCAGTGGCTCAGAGAAATCTGAAAATCCTAATATCGAGGAAAGAAATAAAATATAAAAGGATACCTGCAACCTGGTTCACTTCAAAACCCTGAAATCCAGACTAAATGGAAACTGGTTGTTTAGGAGGCCCACACAGGGTAGGGATAAAACGATAAAGGAAAGCAAAAAGGGATCTACCTTAAAAGCCAAGACAATGCTCACTTCTAGGGGTGGGGAGGTACAGTGAACTGGCAATGTTCGATTCTTGGCCTGGGGGGGTGGCTGCATAGGTTTTGCTCTGTACTTGTTTACAATTTATGTACATATATATGTTATGCATGTTACGTTTGTTATATATATATATGAACAGATGGCTGGATACAAATAAATATAACTATATTCTCTGATTAGTTGGTGCCAAAGAGGCATGAGGTTATTGGATTATATAGATCATGGAAGGACATCTATCCCCACCCATATATATTTCCTAATAAACATTAAAAAAATTAAATGTCCTTGGAACTGTTGACTATTCCTTATATGACAGGGTTTTCAGAGCCATGCTCTGTGGGTCACAGCCCCTGTGGTAGGCTGACAAATACCCCCCTGAAGGTGGCCCTTAATGCAGTCACAAGTGTCTTTATAAGAAGGAGGCAAAGAGAGATTTGACACATACACAAGGGAGAAGGTGATGTGAAGATGGAGCAGGGAGAGACTGCAAGATGCTGGCCTTGAAGACTGGAGAGACGAAGCCAAGGAAGTCGGGCAGCCCCCAGAAGCTGGGAGAGGCAAGGAATGGATTCTCCCCCAGAGCCTTTGAAGGGGGTGCGGCTGGGCTTGATTTCTGCCGAGTGATACTGACTTCAGATTTCTGGCCTCAGGAAACGGGAGAGATTACATTCCTGTGGTTTGAAGTCACTAGATTTGCAGAAAATTTTTATCACAACCCCAAGGGGCATGGATGGAGCACTTCAGGACATGAAGGGGGCAGATGAGGGCAGACTGCCCTGGAACCAGCACAGGGGAGCTCCAAGGATGGGTGAGTAGCAGGACGACCACCTCCGTGGTGGTGTCAGTGTCCACGGATGCTGACGTGCCTGGGAGGTAAAAGGCAGAGCCGATAGCCTCTGGCTCCTCAGATCCCTCCTCAGGGACCATTAAGATAAGTCAACATGGTGCATGCCCCCATGAGATATAAGGAGGCGACAGGGAGCTGAATCCACCTGCCTGCATCCATATTGCATGAGCATCCTTGCCGTGGTTTGAATGTAGACCACAGTCAAATAAATCTCAAACAGATTCTAAATATCTGTCATCCTCAATGCCAAGATTAGGCCCCGTGCATGTTCAAATCCACCAGTGCCCTCGTAAAGCATGGCCTCCGGGTTGAAGATGATGTGTCAGGACAGCTGACCCAGCAGTGGGGGCTGGGATTTTTCCAACTGCCTGACCTGGGGGCCCTCAAATGCAGCTTGCCTTCTTCTTGTGTCCCCTGACACTTGCCTCCAAGGCTGACTGAGGGAAGGACTCAGCCTCCCCAACCACTCCCCTGCCCTTGAAGTCCCCAAAGATGGGCCCCTTCTATTCTCAGAGCTTTAATGCTAACCAGGTAGTGAGGTCTAAATGATAAAGAGACAAAACTCACAAGCTTATCAAAGGCCTGGCCACAGTTACTGGCCTAACATTTCCCACCTGCCTCCTAAAATGGCAACTGGAACCCCACTGGCTCTTCCCTCTGCTGGCATTCTCTTGGGCTCAGCTCCTCATCTTTGCACCGAGGGCTTGTGAAAGCCATGGGGACATTCTGTTGGGCAGACCCACAGAACTCTGGATTCCCTTTGCTTCCAGACCAAGGGACCTCCCTTGTCTCTACTGGGCCTGGGAATGGTTCCTTACAGGCACTTACTTCCCTAAAAAAAGCCACATACCCTTGTCAGCTTCCCCTAATGTAAACATCTTACATCACCATGGTCCAGGGAACGAAAGCAGGAGATTCACAAGGATACAGTGCTATCATCTAATATACAGACCTTACAATAAACATTTTTAAGTGATGGAGGGAAGGAAGGAGGGATGGAAGGAAGGAAGGATACAGGGAAGAAGGGAGGGAAGGCAGGAAGGAAGGAGCATGCTCTGGGCTGAGGTGATCAAGGAAGGCTTCCTGGAGGAGGTAGATTTGAGCTGGCCCCTGGAAGAGAAAGGTCCTGAGACAGAAGGGAATGGATGAAGGGCATTCCAGGAGGGAGGAATCACATGGATAAAGCTGTGGAGGCTAGAAGGCCCTAAGGAAGGAGGGGCGAGAGTGAGGGAAGCAGTCTGATTGAGGCAGGGTGGGATTAGAGGCTGGGGGACTGGGTGTGCAGGGGGGTGAGGGGCGGAGGCCATCTCTGGATACCTGGCCTTCTTTTTGTCCAGCTTCACTTCCTCTGTGCTGCCATTGATGCCGTAGAGGGTCATGAAGATGCTGGAGTCAGTACCACCGCCGACCACGTCACCCGTCCACACTGTCATCTCATAGAGCACCTGCCGGGAGAGGGATGCGGGCCCTGGGCCTTGGCCTGCCTCACTCTCCCCAGGGCAAGACACCCTCCAAGCCCTGTGGCTCTGTAAAGAGCCCTTCCCCTAATCAACCACTCACGCCTGGAGAACACGAGTCGGGCCTTGGCCCTCTGTGTCCTTGGCCGGGTCCCGTCCGGTGCTAGAGGGGAGTTCAGTCTCTGAGAGAGAACACGTGTGCACCAGAAGCAAGCCCCGATTTCCCCAGCTTCTTTGTCAACCAAACCCCAGCCTGAGCCCATGTAATTGAGCAGCATGTGGTGGCAGGACGGCGGCTTTTGGAGTCATCCAGCACGCCACTTGTTCCCCGGGCCTGCCGCCAGCCAGCTGTCGACCTCGGACAGGCCCCCCCACCCTGGCCAGGCTCTGCTTCCTTCCCCCGAGAGACAGGGATAGACGTCTGGTGGAGTGAGGGCTGCAGTCCGTTCAGCAGCGCAGTGAGAGCCCACGCCAGGCCTGCCACGTGCTGGGGGTCAGCAAGCACAGCCCCAGGTCCGTCCCCACGTCAGGCACAGCCGGCATACGCTGTGAGCGCCCGTGAGCAGCGACGTTTGCAGGATACACACTGACTCCACGATTTGCTCTTCAGGTTGGGATTTTGCCCTTTTGCCTGAGGTTTGTTCCAAAGAGGAAGTGTTCATCTGTCTCCACTGGAGCGGGGAGGGGGCCGCCTGCTCTTCCCCGCACGGTGCCCTCACTGGTTCTTTCTCCAGAGGCAGCCTGTGTGGCAAGAGCGGCCACCTTTACCTGTGCTCTGGAGCATCCTCTGGCTTCTTACTCCATTCCCTCTTGCCAGGTGCCCAACGACTAGCATAGGTCTCGATGGCTCAGGAGAGGTTTGCACACTTGGCCACGGAAATGCCAGGCTGACCATCTCCTCTGAACCCAGCTGGCCCTTCCCTTCTCCTGAGACTGCAGCACTGCATTCTCGCCTGGACCCCACTAGCCAGAAGCCCTCGAACTCAGAACCCAAGTTATTTGTCACAGTGATCATGTTCCCGACATTGTGCCTGTTGGGTACTGGGTGCTTTTCAAGCAGCATCTCGGATCTTCGCCATGATACCATGAGGTTAGGAGTGGTCTTTGCAGGCCTGGCCCAGAGGACAAGTTCAGTACTTGTTTGCCAAGGTAATGATTAAAGAGCCTCTTGCTTTATCAGGAAGATCCTCTCAGACCTTAACACGGTCTCGTGGTGGCAGGAGGAGCTACTGGGAATGAAGGCAGGAGCCTGATGCTTTTTTGCTCTTATTCAGACAGGTATGAAAAATAGAAAGATCAAAATGAGTGCTTTGGTGACCCCATGGAGACTGGCCCCTTAAGGCTAGTCCCTCCAGACTGTTGTGCTCTCTGGGCCCATCTTTCTCTCCTTTACACAGACACATCTCTTTTTAGGTAATAGGTTGTTTCCAGAAAGAGACACAGAAATGGAGCTTTTGTAATTCTGGTCTGATATCTCCTGGGGAGATGGCCAGTCCAAAGAAGCCTGTGGTTCTTTGCAAAGTGATAAACCTGTGTTCTTTTGTAACATGAATAATAGGGGCGTGGGTCTGCATTTCCACAGACTAAAGGGCTTGGGGGAGATACAGCTGTACTGAGTGGGGTGTGCATGTGTGTGTGTGGGGGGCGACACGCACACAGACACACTCTCGCCCACATGCATGCTGGGAACTGGGTCAGGACAGAGGTCCCTGGATGAACTGTGTGCTCACCCACACCATCCGTCTGGCCACAGATGGAGATGTCTGGGTAAGTTGTGGGGGGGTGTATCTGTGCTATAGAAAGTTCTGCTTTCTGGCTCTCAAGCAGGGGAGGGGCAGGCATCCACACTCCTGCCTGTCAAGGTTCTCAGAGCCCCAAACTCAGCCCTTCCTTCTGTTTCCATATGCAATATAAGCAGGGCACACTCAGGTCCAGGGTGATTTCTTCTTATCTTTGTGAGACACCTTCTGACCTAAATCTATAGCCCATTGGTTTGGATTCAGGAACAGAGATGAGGGCTGGAGCATCCTGTTGACCCCACAGTTTTTCGGAGGGAAAGAGAAGCCTGTAGGGTCGCATGAACCAGGGCCATCTAAGCCACCAACTGGCCATGTATCCTTGGGCCCAGCACTCAGGCACCCAGTGCTGACTTGTGAGCTCATACAACTTTGCCCCTGGTCATTTGACCAGTTAGAGATGGAGCCAGGACAGGAGCTCAGAGCTCCTGCCTTAAAGAGGGTCTCGTGCACGCAGCTCTCCCTGTACTGCAAGATCCTGAGGCACACGGTATCCCAAATGCTATCTTTCCCCACCATTGTCCTTGGGTGTTGAGGGAGCATTTAGAGAAAAAACAAAACAAAACAATCTATGCAGAGCTTGCAAAACTCTTCACGGACTGTTCATGATTTCATTTGTTCTCATCAAGATCTTACCTGGAACAGGATGGAAAGCGTTACTTCCACGGACTGTATGAGAAGACCAAGGTGATCTGGCCAAGGTCACACAGCAGTAGACCCAAAGAGACTCGAGTCTTTTGGCTCTTAGCAAAGGGTGTCTGGCTGGTATACCAGGCTGCAGCCCCTGCCAGTGGCCCAGCGATGAGTCACCTGCTTCCCTCACTTCTGTCTCCCCTTCTGCTCTCCCACCCCACCCTGCATGGCCCTTGCCATGCCATATGCACACCCAGGCCCCTCTCTATACCTTCTTCCCAATATTCACCACCATGGCGTCCAGGAGGTCGAAAACACGGGAGGTGACACCGTCGCCTCGGTCCTTGGCAAGCCAGCAGTTGCAGCGCAACGTGTACTTGGTACCCTGGGTAGGCACAGCCAGACACAGCTCCTCCACCAGCCAGCAGCTCTCGGGGGAGGCCCCATCGTGGCCCAGCTGGGAGGGGACACACCAGGGCCGTGAGGGTCTGGGTAAAACTGGGAAAGAAGCCCTCGCCACTCAGCCTCCCCTCCCCCGTTCTGCACCCTCCTTCCTCGGTGCTTCCTCCTAATGTGCTCTGCGCACCATGACCCAGGTCCCTCCAATGGAGGTGAGGAGGTTTTGCAGATGAAATAGAGGTCTCTAATCAGATGATTTTGAGTTAATCAAAAGATTATTCTGGGTGGGCCTCACCTAATCAGGCAAGCCCTTTAAGAGAGGGTCCAGATGTCAGAGATGGGAGAAGTCAGAGAGATTTGAAGCAGAAGAGATCATGTCTTGTTGGCCTTGACAAAACAAACTGCCATGTTTTGGAGAAGGTCATGTGACAGGGGAGGCCTGCAGCCTCTGGGAATTGGCGGCCTCAGTCTCACAACTGCAAGGAAATGGATTCTGCCAAAGACCAGTGAACTTGGAAGAGGACCCCCAGCCTCAGAGGAGACCACAGCCCTAGCAGCAACTTGATTTCAGCCCAGTGAGACCTTGGGAAGAGGACCCAGCTAACTCACATCTGGACTCCTGACCCGGGAAACTGGGAAATAATATATCTATATGATCTTATGCTAAGTTTGTGGTAACTTGTTACATAGCAACAGAAAACTAACACAGCAGGCATCCCCATTAGGTGGGTGGAAAACTGAGACCTGGCAGGGCAGTGGTTCATTCAAGGTCACCTAGTTGATGGCAGAGGCCAGGGCACCTCCCCCCATGACCTGGTCTGAGGTGGGGCTCCAGGTCAGTTACTCTGCCTGCCCTTTACACCTCCACCTACTATGTCCTGGTTGGCTCCTTCCTTCCCTGGGGGTGGGCACCATCCCAAGACCCGGGGACCAGCACCTCTATTTTCTTGATGATGCCCACATCCAAGCCTGCAACATAGAATTCCTCCACGGAGCCACAGCTGAAGCCCTTCTTCCCCCGGGGGAAGTCCAGCCAGATGCGGTTACTGCGCTCATCATCCTCCCCAATGAGTAAGATGAAGGCCCGGCTGTCGGTGGCCGCATCCTTGTGCTTCCCGGTGGTGACCGACACATGGTAGGGAATCACTGCAAGAGATTATGGAGCCAGGTGGACACGGGTGGGCTCATAGACTTGGAAATGACTTTTGGAGAGCACAGATCTCAGCTCCCTGCCTCTGAGACAAAGTGAAACAGAACTTTCCAGACTGGTGAATGATCTATGGTGAGCATCTACTCTCCAGGGAATGAGAGATTGTTATCTCCCAAGTGAAGATCATCCTAAAAGAGCATCCTTGCCACTTCTGAAAGCCCTGTTGACCAATGATCTCAGTTGTACCTAGCACTCCCATGTGAAGTAGAGCAAGACCAACAGCCTTTCTGTAGTCAGCAAAAATAAGGTTGGAAAAAACAAGGTCTCACGGAAAGTAGGAATTTGGGGAATAAAAATAGAATAGTATTATATGTATAGCATGGTAAATGAAAGCTCTAGAAGGCATCCATTTCCAAAACAGACCAGAATAATTAGTATAAAACCTTGCTCGGGTAGTGCAGCGCAGAGTTCTAGTTGCCCAGCAAGTACCCATTCTTCTTGCAGCTAGGGGTGCTTCATAAAATGTAAGCAGACATTGTTGGGTGGGTTTCCGGGGAAATTTCTGACTCATCTGGGAAGAGCACCCTTTTGCCCCTTACCCTTCCATTCGTTCTGCTTGAAATGTGGATGCGATGGCTGGAGCTCCAGCAGTCATATAGGAACCATGGACAACCTTTTAGGATGGAAGTCCCTGACTTCACTGGAACCTGCTGTATCAGTCCCTGTTGCCTACCTTTGAACTTTTATGTGAGAGAAAAGAAAAATCCCTCATTTGTTTAAGCCACTATCTTGTCTCAGTCACTTACAGTTACTGATACAAGTTGGAAACCCTTTTCTGGGATCATCTTCCTCAATATCTTGGGAGACAATGTTCTGGTATAGGCTATAGGTAATATGGTTATAGGTTGTACAATTTGTATCTCTTTGAAAGTTTCCAAACTAGCCCTTCCTGGCTGGAATTACCAGCATTGTAATTCTGCACCTGCCCACAGCCTTATTTCATCTTTACAGGAGGCTTCCTTGGCCTTTCACAGTTGATCATAGTGCTTAATTCAGGAGAAGCACTTTCTTGTGGGTCCTGTCATTTATTCACAGAGTGAAAAGGTAGAATATAAAATGATTGACTCTCTCTGCCCAGCCCCAGAGACACACCCCCCCCCACGTGGTCTCCTGGAGGGGAATAGAGTGGTTGTCACGCTCTATACTTAAGACAGCTGAACAGATAGGCAATGACCTTAAATGTCAGATAAACAAACACAGAACTGCTTTATCTCAAAAATCTGGTTGGAAAAATGAGCTTGTCGGGGCATTACAATATCGTTTTATGGAGGAGGGAAGAATTGAGGCCAAAAGAGTGACTTGTCGAAGGCTACATATATTCTTGTCAGAAGCAGAAATGGGACTTAAATCCCATAAAGCCATCTTAGGACTTTTTCCCCTTCCTCACCACATCACACTGTGCCTTAGGTCTGCATGGCTGAAGTCTTCCATGTGGTGCTCTACTGACATGCAAGGGGGTCCTCACTGTTGCTGTTGATTTCTGTCTGATGAGAACTGTCCCAGGCGCTCGGGGCTGAACCTATGCCCTGCGAGTCTGGGCGAGGGCAGAGTATACCACGATGCCCTCCTGGTGGTGGGTCAGTGGATTAAGGGCATCATTCTCTAACTTCTCTTAGCCTTTGTTCCCCCTTCTGCAACAGGGCTGACGGCTGCCCTTGCAGGTTGTTGTGGGGATGGAAACAGGCGGTCTGAGTAAATTATAAAGCATTAGGTAGAAGTCAGATGATGGTGGGGCAAACGCACGGCCTGTCCAAGAATCGCTTAAACACATGTCCAGGCGCCTGCCCCTCCTCCTCTGAGTTCCCTGCCTGGCTTACCTGGACCCTCCTGCACGTAGCCCACCATGGGTCCCGTCACTGTGGCGATGTCCACGTCGGCCATCTTGGAGCTCAGGGCGATCTCCCAGAAGTCAGCAGGGCTACTGCAGTTGCTGCTTCGGTCCCCAGTGTACTCCTGCCCAGAAGAGCCCAGCCCCGCCCACTACAGCTCTGGCACCTTCTGCCAGAGTACGAGGCACGAGGATGGGGGCGAGCCGTGGCTGAGCCAAATCCCCCCCCACCCCCCGCACTGCCACTGCCTTTCCTGCACCTTCTCATAGAAGAGCCTCTCGAGCCGCCCGTCTTCCTTCTTCAGGGACAGCCAGCGCCCGCACAGGAACAGGAACTCGTCCTCGTTGGTGTCATTCCAGATCTCCACCTTTTCCACATACCAGTCTGCACACCACTTGGTGTTGTCGTGGCGGAGCTTGATCTTGTAGATGACACCCAGGTCAGCAGCCTCGATGATGAATGTGTCCGCCTGGGGAGTCCAGATGTGGGGACTGGGTGGGGTGCGCCCCACCTCCACCCACTGCAACCCTGACTGTCCGGTACCTTCTACCCCACTCAGCCTTTGGGCTGAACAGACTTTCCTAGCTGGGAGCCCTCCAGGCACAAGTCCCTAACCCGAAGTGTTGGGTATTCCGCGGCCTCCCTTTCACAATGGCCCCATTTTGCAGGACCGTTCTTCCTGGGGTACACCTTGTGGATGTCCGGAAGATGGAATGTGAGTGGGTATGAGGCAGACAAGGGTGCTCAGCCTGGTCCTGGTACCTGGATGTCCTTGGTTATGTTGAGTGTCAGCATGAGTTCAGGTGGGAGGCTGGAGGGAGGAATGGGAGGGGGCTTGAAACACCCAGGGGGAAGCTGGGAGGCCTTCAGAGGAGCCACTGAGCCAGGCCAGGGAGAGGAGACAGCAGGGAGAGGCTCTGATGGAGGCCAAGCCGAGGAGAGCTCGGGGACACCATCTGGAATGCAGGTGCAGGCAGGTTTTCTGTGGGGTGTGATGTAAGGCCCTCTAGGTCCCTGATTATCCCTTCAGTAAAGGGTTGTGACCCTCCCAGGTGCTTGGATTCTTTTGGGATTGCTCAGTGAGATGTAGCGTTCTAGGCCTTGGGTGAGGTGCGGTTAAAACACAGGCTGAATGTGGCTGGCAGGAACCTAGGGCAGGAGAGTAGAGGCTGGTGGTCCTGAGTTACAGCACTTTTCTTCCAGATGATGGAAGATGTGCTGAGTCACTACAGAGTGCTAGGAACTCAGACATAAATACAATGAGGAAGCCTCTGCCCCTCCTGGGGACCTCCCAGCCCAGGGCAGGGGGAGGAGGAGGTGGGTAACTACGGTCCATGTGCAGAAGCAGCCACCTGTCCGTGGACTAGAGGCAGGGCTGGGAAGATTCTTCAGGTAGTGGCATGAAGCTAAGGATGGGGTGGCTGGGCCTTTTGGCCCCCAGGGCAGGTCAGTCTGCGGGTGGAGGAGACTGCAGGTGAGCCACGCACAGCTGACTCGGCAGGCCACAGCGCTCTGACAAGTGGCTAAGATCACTAGGGCAAAAACAGGCACAGCCTATGACCCAGCAATCCCACTTCTTTGCTTCTGTCCTGAGGGGACGCCTTTTTATGTGCACAAGGATTTTCACTGCAGGATAATTTTTACAGTGGAAAGCTGGGAGCCATCCGCCGTCCAGTGCTTGGGGAATGGCTAAGTAAGCGTAGCAATATTGTGTGTAGAATGTCATGTGTGTGGTGGTTACGAAGGACGAGCCAGTTCCATCTACGCTTGAATATCCTGACATAGAAAGATTTCCAAGGTACTCCACTGTGCATTCTGTGGTGGACACTCCACACAGATTGGCCGGGTGGGCCACAAAAGGTCGTGAATCCTGCAAAGGGCTCAGGCCAGATCTGGGATCATGGAGAGGCTCCGGCGGGCTGCATGACTGTCAGCTTTGGATTCGTGAAATGAGGAGGCCCCAGCGGGGGGCGGGGAGGGGGGCTAGAGCAGGGATCCCAGGTGGTTCAATAAGCCAGGTCAGCTAAGGAAGGGCTCAGGAGCTGACAGGGCTGATCTAGGAGCCGTGTAGAAGGGAGAATCTCCAAGACCTGGCTTTGGGCTGGAAGTGGGTGGGTGGGTGCTCATGGGGGGAGGGTGGCAATGGGCACTTCTGTACTGTGGGGGAAATGGTCAGAGAAATGGAAGCTGCTAGATGCTCAGCAGTGAACTTAAAGTCACATAAACCGTCTGTGAGTAAACCAGAAGTAGCTCTAGCTCCCTTGATAGGAGGGAAGGAAGAGAAAGGGATGGGTAATAGAACAGGGCAAAGGTTTTCCTTACGATGTAATAATAGCTAAGAGAGAAAAAATCTGACTCTGAGCCCAGAAGGGAATGGATTGCATGGCCTTCATTTATAAGTTCATTCACTAATGTGCTCTACAGATATTTGCTGTGCCTACAGCCTGGCTCCGTGCATCTGGCCACAAAGGAACAGGGATCTGTCAGCTGTGTGCTGCACGCTGCCGTCTTACAGTGCATTCTCCACGTGTCCGCCCAGGCACCACTGAAGGCAGGGGAAGGTGAGCTCCCCCATCCTCAACAGCACTCCGCACTAACGAAGAGCTAAGCAGTTCAGATGTTTTAATTCAGTGAACTTCTTTTATGGTGGAAGAAACTGAGACACAGAGATGTTAAGTAACTTGCCCAAGACCACACAGCTAGTCAGTGTCAGAGCCAGGATGTGAACTCAGGTGGTCTGGCCCTGGCCACAGGTCTGGCCCCTGAACGGCACTGCCACATCCCAGCATATGTGAGTGAGCTTGATAATCATGTCCCCAGTGTAGAGTCGGGGACACCACATGAGTCATCTGACCACTTAGCATTCCATTTTGTCCAAAATGGTTAGGCCTCCTATTAGCTACCTTACAAGTGCAGCAAACAATTAACATCTCGCATACATGTGTGTGTGTGTGTGTGTGTGTGAAATTATTTCTCCCCCTGATACAAAGTGTCCTTCCATCTCTTGTCCTGTTTGTTGGCCCAGGGGTCTCAGTAGCCATCACACTGCTATTCCCACTTCAGAAGTAGTAAACCAAGGCTAAAGGTAAACAGTTCCTACCTGGATGATGGAACAAATGAATGGGCGCCCCAGGGCCTGCCTCCCCCGGGACCTTGAGGCCAGGCGGGGACTCTCTGCAGACGGCCTGGCTCACACACCAGCCAGCCGCAGACCTGCTCAGATGCCGCTGCTATCCTTGCCCCAGAGCAAATTTCCTTCTCACAAGTAGCAAATGTTTCCGTGCCAAGGATCACGCCTAGCTGAGGGTGGGGCTTAAGGAGACCCCTGCTAAATACCCACTGGTCAATGCAGGAAACCCCCACGTGTGCATGGCCATGGGCAAGACCGCAGATCGGGTCACCTTGCTCTGATCACCCTGAAGCTACAGCCTGGCCTGTGGGGAATTCTGGCAGATTTCGGTGAACAGAGAGAAGGGAAAGAGGCTGAGGCTGAATGAAGGGGGTGAGGCAGCAAGGGCGCCGGAGACTGCTGAGCCACAGTGGGAGAGGGAAGCCGAGCTGCTGGGAAGAAGTCAGGACAGATGCCTTCCTTTTCCTAAAACCACAGTATGTCAGAGCCCTTTGCCTAATAGAGGCTTTTCTTGGCACCCCAATAGATAGTCCAGGTCCAGGTGCACTCCAATTGGGGCAGTGGGGTACTTGCCTGCTCGTCTGATCCCTCCGTGGCTCCCATGGGCCTCGGTGCTGCCCAGAGCTCTGCACAGCACAGCTTAGCCCATTCACATCAGGCTCCTCATTTTAAAGACGAGGAGACCAAATCCAGAGAGGGTTAACCAGATCAGGAGCCGATGGTAGGAGCAGGCCTCCAGCCCCGGAGATGGGGCAGTTCCCGCCACTCTGGTGACCCGCCACAGTGAGCTGACTTTTCTGGCCCCCCAGACAGCCAGCAACCTGGGTCTCAAACAGTCCTCAGACAAGCCCTACCCTCTGCTCTACCTCCCCCCCAGATCAGGACCCAGGGCCCACACACAGGCTCAAAGAGGGGACCGGCCACTCTGCAGGAGGAAGCGCCAAGGGTAAATGCCCACACAAGGGAGCACGACACTGCACAAGGTTCAGGGACAGCCTCTGGCACCAAGAGGAGCTGAACCCAGGCCACTGGACCCAGGAGGGGAGGGGAAGGGGCAAACTCTGTGTGCCCTACGTACTGTTCCTTTCTCGAACTTGTTGGTACGGTTCTCTGACTTGCCAAGGTACCGCTCCCCGGTGTCCCCCAGATCTCCATAGATGGTGATGTAGACCTTGGCATCCGTCCCTGCCCCGGGAACGTTTCCTGTGAAGATCTGCACCGAGTACAGCACAACTGGGCGGGTAGTCAGACCGACGGACGGACAGATGGACAGACAAAGGGAAGAAAAGAATGGCATTGCTTTAGGATGGAGGGAACTGGATTTGTAGGAGGTATTAAGCCCTCCTTGGGGCTCCAAGGAGGAGTTAGCATCTGCCTTTCATTTGTTCACTTGTGCACATGCTGCTACAAATCTGCAAGGATTCACCGGTGGGGGCGGTGGGGGAGGGAATGTCTGCCCACCCGATCTGGACACGGCTGTCCTCTAAGACCCGGAGGATGGAGGCTTCTCCCAGCAGCTCTCAAACCATCCACCCATCTAGCTGCCTGCGCTTTGGGGGCGGGGGGCGGGGGGGAGATGCAGGAGACGGCCCATCATGGATGTGCGCTGTGGTCACTACATCTACCTGCCCTGACATGCGACAATAATATGCCTTCCCATTTGGGGGTTCCCAGGACCCACACCAGTTGCTTCTAAACAGTCTTCGGAAAAAAAATCAAGTATTTTTTTGAAAGTATAGCTTCCCCATAGTGTCCATGTCCTTATTTTTATTTATTCTTCAGCTCCCTGCCATGCGGCACCTGCCCCCCAGTGACCACCACCCTCTCCTTCACCCGCTGTGGCCTGTGGCAAGGGCTCTGTGAATGCTGGTGTGACAGTTATTAAAAATTATTAAGGAAAATAAAAACAAACGTGGTCTTGTCTTTGTTTTGCTGCTGTGGGCTCATCAAGGAAGAATAAGGTATCTCCCTTTCCAACCTCCACCCCAGGGGGAAAGGCGAGCTGTGCATTTTTACAAGGCTAAGAATTCTTTGTGTCCTCTCCATATGCCTTTGTCCCAAGAGCCTTGGCGTTTCAGGCCAAGAAGAGGGGACTTCGCTGGATGATCCCAAGGAGAAGGATGGAAATTGTGGCTCTGAGGTGAAGGGTGGGAGTGGCCAGGCCGGGAGGAAGGTTCATGTCCCCAGCCTGCGAGGGGCGCGGGGGCTCGGGAGTCCGCTGGGCTGGCAGGGACCCGTACTCGGAGTCCCCGCAGGGAGATGGCTGTGGGGTTATCTGGGAACTTGAAGCAAGGAGCCCTCATGGCCGAAGAGCGAGTCTCAGGAGGAAGCTGAAATGTTTCTGGCCCCCTAGAGAAACGAGGCCTGTGTATCTGTGGAGAGCCAGCAGCCCTGTCACCATGTGGCGGGAGGACACAGGTGTCCGTGGTACCCGCCCTGGACTAAGGGCCAGGCCCTTCCTATGAGGCTCAGGATTCTCATGAAACCCAAAAAGAGAGATTCTCCCTCCTTGTCGTGACTGAGATGGACTTTCTTCCCAACCCTTGCAAGTGGGCTCAGACCACATTTAATTAAATCGAGAAAAGGAAGGTGACGTGAGTTGCTCATACCCACGGTTATGGAACGTGTTCACGCCCACCGCGTAGTTCCTATTATTTTCCTCTTTTTCCCTTGGACTCCACAGAGCTATTCTCTCCTGCTCTCCATCTGCCTCTCTGGTCGCTCCTTCTGGAGCAGCTTTACGGGTTCCTAATCTCCTTCCCGCCCCTCAGATGCCTGGTTCTGTCCGCTTCCCTCAGTTCCCCTCCTGCACACCCTGGGCGTTGACTTCCGTGAGTTCCCCGAGTCTGTATCTCCAACCCAGTTCCCTCCTGTGCTCTGGATCCACCACCCTGTCACCTAGGGGACACATCCGCCTTGACTAGATGTCACAAACTCACCTGCACACCTGAACTCTGCAAGCCCCTTTCCAAACCTTCTCCCTACCCACCCTCCCTGCCCAGCACTCTGCTCTGCAGAACTCCACGGCGCCCTGTGAGTCTGCTCTCAGGGACCTGTCCCTACCCAGGCCAGGAACCAGGACTAGTCACACTGCCCTCCACCCCTGCCTCGCTCAGCTCAGTGCAACATCTGTCAGCATTTCATGCGTTGCATTAATGAATAAAATCTCCTCTTTGGTGTTTAAGAGTCAACATTACCCAGGTCTGTCTGGCTCATACTGACAGGAGGTGACATTAGGAATCTTGTCACAGTTTAGACACAACAATCGACTGTCCTCCCTTGCACGTTTTCTCCCTAGTCACTTCCTGGCTGTATGTTCGGCCCTGCTTCCACACTGACGTAGGACCTTTTCTAGGAGCCCTTGCCCCAGAGTGGGGTGCTGTGTCACCAAGGGCTGTGGCTGAATGGCCCTCCTTCTCCCCCTCCTCCACCCTCCACTGCTCTTTCCAGGCCTTGGGGAATGGAAAACTGATTCAGCTTCTGGGTGCTGAGCAATGCAGTGGTGCAGACAAATCCGGCTATTTCTGGAGCCTCCTCCCTCCCTGTCCCACCCAAGCCACACAGCTCTCAGTGGAAAGATGTTTCCCTAGAAACATCGCCAGGCAGGAGTGTGTTTGTGGCATGTTATTAATACAGAACAGCCCAAGTGGGCCGCTGGGACAGCTTTCCGGGGTGTCCTCTGGGATCCAAGTAGAAAAGGGAATTTTCCCCCCAAGACTTAATAGCAAAGGGATTTGGGTAGGGGAAGGCACATTACGGAGGCGACACTTGTTTTTATCTCTAAGCAAGTGGCAACTGAGATGAAGGGAAATGTTAGAGCTATAGCTGGTTAACACCCCCCTGGTTCCATATGGGGCCTGGAATCTTGGATTTTACTCCCTTTTTTTCCAAGAAGGGATGCAACACAACAAATGGGAGCTGGATCTCCAAGCTCTCAGAGCATCTCTGATCTGTGCAGACTGCCCCTCGTGGAGGGACCCATGGTATTCTTGCGTGTATCACCACTGGTGGAAAGCCTGTTTTTTGCAAGTGAATTTGATTTTTGGCACAGCTAAAGCTCATTCAGGGCTGACCAAAAAACCTGGGGATTGATGGGACAATGGCACTGCTGGTCAAAAAAGAGGTGTGACTGTCCCCGTGGTCCAGGAGGAAAGCACACACGCAATGTAAGAAGAAAGGAGAAGAGAAGGCTAAGGACAGAGTGTGAGGAATACCACCCGGCGTGAGAGAGGAGAACAGTACTCAGCGGCCCAGGCACAGAAATAAGAAGAGAAGAGAATGGTCCCCAAGCAAAGGGAAAAGCACACGGAGGGCGTGGTCAGGCTAATGCAGATCCTGCAGAGAGCCCCGCGTGAGGAACGGGCACTTAGAGAAAAGAAAGCCATGGCCCTGGATCTTCTGAGACTGCACCCAAGCCCTGTGCACAGCTCCAGCTACACACAAGTCTGGGATGTTTCTTGGTTCAAACGTAGTAGAGACAGTTGGATCCCGCGGGAGCAGAGAGGGCTGAGCTCTGCAGAGGAGTAGCTGAGTCAGTGAAGAGGAGGGAGGCCCCCAAGGACCAGGAGAATCCAGGCACAGGAGAACATGCACGTGGGTACGGTGTGTCCCGCTGTCAGGCCAGGGAAGGACAGCTAGGACCCTGAAGAACAGCCTGCCGTTTATCAGCTGTGTGAACGTGGGCAGGTTAGACCCCCTCTGTGGGCCTCAGGTGCCCCCTCTATTGACTGGAGTTAATAACAGACCCTGCGTCCTAGGTGCAAACACTCGGCCTGGCACGAGGCAGGTACCCGACAAGGTGGGGGAGGCTGCTGCTCACTGTGAGGAGGGCGCCATACTTACTGTCCAGAGGTTCTTCTACTTCCTTGTAGACTTGTCTTAAGGACCCATCTCTCATGTATTTCTCAGTGAAGATGTCATAAGGGACCAGTTCCCGAATGGTCTTCTTGTCATCCTCCGATGTGGCAAGCCATCGATCACAAGGGAAAGTCAAGGTCTCTGTGCCCTGAGGTGAGGAGGCAAGAGGAAAATTAGTCCTTTGTGTGGACCCTTCCGACTTCAGTGGTTCATCAGCACGTCAACACTCATGGGGACCAAGGACAAGGGTCATGGAGCCCCGCAGACAAAGCAAAAGTTGCAGCGGAGGCCTGGCTCTGCCCCAATTCCAGCAGATTCAGTCTTACTCAAAGACTTCAACAACCGCATCAGGGGTTGGCTCTTGGAGGCAGGGTCCCCAGGGTCACTTAAAAATAGATATCGGAACCCCATTCCACAGACTCAGATTCCATGGGTAAGAGGAGGGGCTCAGTATTTTAAAATTACTCTCAAATCACTCAACCACAGCCACTCCTGAGACCTGCCTTCCATGTTTAGAATTCTGTGGCTTCAGAATGTTTGCCAAGTTGTTCCACTGGATTTCTTTCTGTGAGTTGACCTTGAGCAGCAGGAAGGGCATGCTTGGTCACTCACTAGCAGTGTGGTCCTGGGGGTGGGGAGCAGAGATAGGGTGGCCCAGACCCTCCTCCTTGACCCCCTACGTGAGGTTCTAAAAGATTCCGCCCTGGACCTGAGCTGGTTCCTACACTTGGAGTAAACTGGGTGAACTGTCCTCAGATTTTACCTCAACTTAATAAGGCTGCAGGTTCTTTTTCTTTTGTTTTTTAAAGATTTATTTTTATTTATTTGAGAGAGAGAGAGAGAGCACGAGCGAGCAGGGGGAGGGGCAGAGGGAGAAAGAGAATCTCAAGCAGACTCCCTGCTGAGCGTGGAGCCCGACAAGGGGCTCGATCTCATAACTCTGAGATCATGACCTGAGCTGAAATCAGGAGTCCAACACTTAGCCGACTGAGCCACCCAGGCACCCATAAGGCTGCCGTTTTTATCAGGAGTCAGCCTTGAATCTCTTCTGGAAAGCGGCAAAAGAAATAGCAGGACAGATGAGTCAGGAACTCACATCTTTATCTGGGAGGAGCCTGCGGATGTCCACGTGGGAGCAGTGCCACCCAGGATTTACGCCCGTATTGTCATGGCCAATCCGAATTTTCTCAATGATTTCTCCCACGTCTTCTAACTGTGGAAAGGAGAAAAGGCACCAGGTGGGAGCTGAAAGGTCCGGGAAAGTACAACCTCAGGAACATCCTGCCTCCCCAGGGCATCTGCTCTTGAGTCCCTCTGAATGTCCAGGGGCCACTTTCTCCCACCATGTCCCCCCTGTCCGGCTGAGCTAGCACCTACTCTCCTCTACGCAGGCCATGCTCAGGCTTCCCTTCCTCTCTCCCCACTTAAAACCAGCCTAGACTCCAGAACTCAGTTCAATCAACCTCTGGGACACTGTCCCCCCCTTTTCATGGTGGAGCCTGCCTCTCCGTCTTCCATTACTTACCATTGTGGCAGCTCGTTCCCAGCTTGAGAACCAACCTGGGTATCAGAAGATGAGTTCTGGTTCCGCCCATGCCCTGTCTTGTCAGCCTGGCCTTCTTCTTGGCCCCTAAGAGCTCCTCTATCTCCAACCACCCCTCTTCTATATCCCTCAAATTCCAGTCCCTCAAACTTGACATTGTCTTGCCACAGGGCCTTTGCACAGGCTCCCCCTGCCCCTCCGCTTTCTTCTTCTTTACCTAAACCTCAACCTCACCATTCAGATCTCAGATCAAGGATCGCTTTCTCAGGGAAGCCTTCTTGACCAAGAAGGCTTGGTCAAAGAAGTCAAATCTCTTTATGACAGGCACTTATAGCATCCCATGGCACCCCTGCCCCCTGCCCCAGCACTTCTGCAACCTCTCTGCAGAACGGGCCACCTGGCAGGCACGGGCAAGTTCTTGGTGCTAGGAGGCAGTCAGCTCCGGGGTGGGTGAGGCCTGTGATGAGTGAATGGCATCTGAATGATAGATGAAGTCATTCATCAAATGCAAAGCCTCTAGAACCACAGACGGAAGTGACCTCTGAATGAAACGGAACAGCTTCAAGGGCAGGCCCATCAGCACTGCTTGAGGAACGTCCCCCCACTCCCATCCCCACCCTCAGCCTTCCCAATTGGACCTATGACCCGTATAACCTGAGGCAAGGCACTTGACCTTCCAGGCTTCAACTTTCTTCTCAATAAAATGGGGAAGAACAATGTCTTACTCAAAGGAAGGCAGAGGCATGGGCAGGGTAGTCCCCCTGAGGTCACTTCTAGGTCTAAGATCTCAGCCATGGTTCTTTCTGTCAACTATTCTCTCCTTCCAGGTGACCAGCACGGTGCCACACTGCTGGAAACTGCAGCACTGGCCCCTTCCCCGCTCCCTACCAGCCAGCTCACCCTCGCTTCACCACAGAAGTGCTGTCCCCTGTGAGCCCCCAAGGGGCAGTCTGATCACTAAACACAGATCGGTGACCTCAGGCTGACATTAACGCTCTGGACATTTTTAATGAGGCCTCATTCCCTCATGGTGGGAGAGGCACAGAAGCTATGGAGGAAACCGTCTGCCCACAGAATGTCTACCTGTGGGCACTGAGCTGTTGGCTGCATCGAGGACTAAAGATTCGCCTGTGTCTCCCTCTGCCCAGGGGCCTCTTCTCCTCCTTCGCCATCCCATCTCTGAGGTTTGAGATGTGTGGACCTGGGCTTCAGTGGTACTTCTGGAGCCCGAATCATCCAGCCCCTCGGTCAGGCATGCCATGTCAGGTGGCTGTCTCAGCAGTGACCCTCAATGAGCAAGGAGGCCACTAGGGGACTGCCAGCCATGGATGGTGGGACTCAGGGAGAGACTCGGAATCAGAGGAAACCCTAGTATTGTCCCAAGAGGTGGAAGAGCTAAGCAGAGAAGGTCCTGGTATCGAACTGCTTGAGTCTAAATCTTGGCTCTGCCCTTGTTAATTATGATGTCCTGAGCAAGTTCTGTAACCCTGCCAGTTCAGCTGGAAGAAGCAGTAATCATACCACCAACTCTGGGATGGTGATGAAGACGCCACACTCAGAACAGGGCAGGCACAAGGCAAGTGTAGAATAAATATGAGTTATGATTGCTATTTTCCTAGCCATTCCCTGTGTCTTAGGACAAAGCCACAGAGAGAGGGAGTGGCTTGCTCGTGAGTTTGCGTCTGAGCCAGAACCAGAACCAGAACCAGAACCAGAACGTGGGGTCATGTGCCTGTGATCTGGTGCTCTATGTCTCACCTGAAGATCGGTCAGAAAAGAGATACAGAGAGACAGGGACATAAAGCTTTTTCATTTGTTTCCAAACTCTCACGCTCCCCCAACAGCCAGAGAGATTTGAAAAGGAAAAAGAAAAAGCAACAAATTACCGTCAAATTATAGCTGCCGATGAGCGGGCATTTCATTGATAAATCTCCACGGAAGTCACGCTGATGTGTAATCCCAGCCCCCCACTGACGTACCATGCCATCCTGGGCGGATGAGCTGTTGCTGTGTGTGGATGAATGAATCACCCTTGAATTTTCCTTGTTAAAGACTCCACCAAGGTGGCGACCTTCCCACAAGTGCTGACTGCTCCCGGAGAAGGTGGGGGAGGGAGCAGGGAATCCCCCAGCACAGACACTGGCCGAGGAAGGAGGAAGGGGTTCTGGACTTTGTTTCCCATCAGAAGATAAGGGGCGTTTCTCCAAAGGTCCCCACTCTCTGGAGAGCCCAGGCTCCTGCGACATCCAGCTCTTTTCCTTCAGAGCTGTCCCCTCTAAGTCTTGCTTCAGCCAGTCCTCTACCCATCATGTCACTCTCCCGCTGTCCATCTGATCAAACCTCGTACCACACGCTGTGTTTATTTCCACCTCCGGCCCTTGGCCACAATGTTCCCCTTGCTAGGAATGCCTCCCCTTCTTGTCCCTGCTTATAGTCGCATTCAGTCCAGCTCAAAGTCACCACCTCCAGGGAGCCTTCTTCTTTCTCTGAGTACCCATCCCATGCTCAATTAATCCCTTACTTGCCCTCATCACCAAGGGCTAGTGTCCAGGGGCTAAGAGCACATATTCTGAGCACATATTCTCCTGCGTTTGAATCCTGCTTCCACTGCACCCTAGCTGTGTGAATTTATGCAAGCTACTCAACACCCTGTCCTCAGTTTCCCCATCCTTAAGCAGGGATAACTACAGCACAGAGTTGCTGTGGTGGTTAAGTGAGTTAACGGATAAAGCCCTATGGCGGTGCCTTCTTACCCAAAGGATCAGTTATTCTAAGGATGACCGGACTCTCTCATTAGCCTTACATGGAGGTTTGGGGTTCTCCAGCTGGACTGCAAGCCCCTTACAGGCAGAGTCTGGGTCCTCCCCTTCTCTTGTCTCTCCCACCTAACCCAGCACACAGTGGAGTGCACAGGGGAGACACTGAGCTGAAGTGCACAGGATGCCCAGGTGCTGTGACCTACACCTATAGTAAACATGGAACAAGCAAGCCCCCAGGCCAGAAGGGGAGCTGGGCCACATACAGGATGTCTGGAAGCCTGGCTCTCCCCAGGGATACATGTGTGTTGTTGCTAGCACTGGAGTTGGTCCCAGTGGAACCGGAACTGTGCCTCTATTTTCTCCAAGCCTTGTCCACTCATTGTCACCTTAGATCCTGATACTAGTCCGATCGGGGCAGGTGAGGTGCCCAGTCCTCCTGGTGACTCAGAAGTACTGAGTGAGGCCCAGTGAGGCTGGATGAACCACCTGGCTTCCTTACCAACAGCAGCCCATTAGGGTGCCTCTGGACGCACGGCTCTTCCTCCCATCTTCTGGTGCCCCCCCACCTCCCAGTGCTGGCTCCCCCAGCAGCCTGCGGAGCCTGCGTACCTCCATGATGAAGCGGGAGGCTGACTTCCTCTCAAAGAACAGCTTCTGCTCTCTCTTGTTAGTGCACAGGTACTTCTGCTGGGTGCACACTGCGTCACAGCCATAGATGACGATGAAGATGTTGGCATCCGTCCCGGCGCCGAAGACGTCGCTGGTGTACAGGGTGATCTCATAAGGGACAACTGAGGGCGGATGGAGGGTGAAGTCAGAGGGGAGGTGAGAACAGAAAACAGACGTGGACAAGATCAAGTTCTTCACCGGCACCACCGCCCCGGGGCCCCGTCACCGGGACCTGCTGCCCAGGGACCTGGATCTTCTTCACATGGTTGCTTAGCAACTGCAGGAATAGGGGGAGAGGGGAGGCAGTGTCCTGTCACACCTAGTACCCACAGTAAGCCCCTGTCACCTCAGACCAGGGTCTCTGTGCCTCTCCCATCACAGAGCTAGTCCAGCAGTTTGGCTGAAAGCACAGGCTCTACCCTGGCTTTCTGTGTGACCTGGGCAAGTCACTTAGGAGCCTCAGTTTCCTCTTCTGTAAAGTGTCCTCACCATGGTCCTTTGCTGTAGAGACTATAAACAGGAGGGTTATATCTCAGGGGGCAATGGACCAATCGGATCAGCGGTTTACAGGGTGAGAAATATTTCTCTTCTTGCCCTCACTTGCTCCACGCTAGCCTGCCCTCCCAAGCCCTCCATAACACACCTGGCCCTTGTTGGGTTGGATACTGGGGCGGGGGGTAACCTTGTGGACTCCTTAAAAGGGAGGCTGACTCATCAGTACCGTCGGCCAGCGGCTTCCTGTTGGGTGGCCGTCAGCATGGGTAGAGACCAGCATTGCCCACTGGGTGCTAAGGACCCTTCACCTCAGAAACTCTTTGGGTGCTTATTAAACATACAGATTCCCAACCTCTCTTCAGATTCTCTATGAGATGGGTTCTGGTGATCTAAATATTTAACTCAGACTTTACACCGGAGCTTGAGACCAGCAGTTTAAGAGTGTGTGGCTAATTACAGATTGAGATCCATTAGCAGGTTGTAAAATAAATTTCTTGGGTAGTCACCAGGATTTTAAAAATATATGGAATTAAATAGAATTGAATAAAAAAATATCATCAATGTGGACATCACACATAGTAAGGGTAAACATTTTTTTGTGACACTTATTTGTTGCATATGTATATAAATGTATATATATATATATATTCTAAGTCACAATAATAAAAAAATATTAAAAACCCAGAAAAACAGTGTAAGTAGAAATCTACCCTATCCTGTGGTCTCAACCTCAAAAGGGATCACATTAAAAGTCACCTTCTCACAGGTGGCCCTAACCTTTTCCAACTTTGCTCCAAAGCAAATGAATTTTCTTTTCATTGGTTTATTACGCTGGTCACTCTGCTGTCGAACTGCAGTTGTAAGGCCTATAGGAATGGTACTTGCCATTCGTTGAGTACTCGCCCTGTGCCAGACTCTCTACCAAGCGTTCTACCTTCCTCATCTACAACCTTCACAATGACCTGTGGAGGAGATATCATTATACTTTAGAGATGAGGAAAGCAAGGCTCAGAGAGGTGAAGTAACTTGCCCCAGGTCATATGGCTGGTCAGAGGTGGAACTCTAACTTGAGCCCCAGCTTGTCTGACCCTTAAATCCTGTGTGGTCAACCTCTAGGGGTGCTATTGTCCTGAACTGGAGGTGAGTACTGCTCCTACCCTACAAGTCCCAGGGCCTTTGTCCTAGGGAGGTGACTGCAGTCCCCACAGTGGCCTGGACAGGGCCCTCACCAAGGTTAAGGAAAAACACAGGCCATTGCAATAATGGAGGTAACTTCCTTGGAGTCCTCTTGGGTGTCTCCATGGTCTAAGGCCCAGAAGGCCTTGAGCAGAGAAGATTGCAATGGACTTGAGCTTTCCTGAGACTGGCTGGCAGTGGGAGAAGCCCTGGAAATATCTACGCAGAAAGAGCCCACCATTCGTCCCTCATCGCTCTAGGCCTGGGCTCCGATGTGTTCCCTGGTCTCTAGTTCTGCCTCTGCCATTGAGGAGCTGTGTGTCCTTGGGCAAATGGATGTACTTCTCTGGGCCTTTTTCTTTGTCTATAAAATAAGAGGGCTTAACAGAATTTGGTTTTCAGACGGTTTAACCGAAATTAATTTTCAGTGGAATGTTTTTGTGCAATTCTTAAAAATACCTTTAGGAAGAACGTTCAGGAAAAAAAAAACAAACAACAAACTTGACTTTTTAAAGCCGAGGAGCTGCTGTGGATGGCATGAACTGGGGAGCTGTTCCCTCTCATCCTTTCCCCTCCCACACCAGCTGCCCTGAGACACCCTCCCCCGCCCTGGCTTTGATACTAGCAATTCTCAGATCACAATTCTCAGACAACATGGCATGATTCTGACCTTTAAGGCTTCACGCTATGCGGCGCTATAAGTTTAGACCATCACAATGGTCCCTTTCCTAATGGACCACCTTTCCTGTGCAGGCAGCACATTTCAGTCGGTCCGGAAGCAGAACCATCTTGCTCTGTTCTTCTGGATTCACGTGTATTGGGCAGCCTTGATGAACGGCCAAATCTAGTTCTAAGCCTTCTAGGCCCCTGAGAATGACACCTGGCCACCACTCCTGGGACTGCAGCTCCCCAGCCCCTGGAGCTTCCTGGCTTTGGGCCCTCAAGACCTTTCCCAAACAAGAAAATAGGTTCTGAGCAGCAGATCCTCCCCTCTGGGCACCTGCCTGGTGAAAACTGCCCTTTGAAGCTGCCTGCATAGCTCTCCAGTCCGAAAGGAAACCTCTCCTGCATTTTATTGATTGATTGATTGATTGATTGATTGATAAATGTGAGTCGAAGACAAAGGGCAAATGGGCTTGCTTTCATATCAGGCTAGAACTGAATATTTTCAAGGTCAGGCCATACCAATCCAGAGCAAGGCCTGTCCTAGGGCATGAAGAGAGAAATGGCTACTTGTGTCTGGAAGTGTCTAACCCAGCACTGCTATCAAGTCTGCATACATCTGTCAGGTCAGTGTGTCTGTCCCAGACTGCAGGTGGCTCCTGGGGGCAGTGGCTAGAGCCAGGGTTTGCTTTGTATATGCAGAGATTTTACTGGAGGGAAATGTCACTTTCTTTTGGGCTTTTGACCAGAAAATATCTTGATGGATCAGGTCTTTTCCAGTTGAATTGCTTTAGGAAAAAAAAAAAAAAAAAAAAAAAAAAATCATCACTGATTCATACTGTGTAATTATGAGCTGTTTGGGGGAAATCTTCTGGTATAGCTAATTATTTGGTTAGGAAAAAAATTGTATTCTGTGGGTTTGGTTCTGATGTTAGCATATTGAGATAGATTTTTATAGTTTGGTTGATTCCAGCTGGATTCCCAGCATCTAGCATGTACTAACATGTAAATAAACATTGAATACATACTTTCTGATAACACTGGAAAGGAAATGTCAGAGCTTGACCAAATTGTTCCCCTTCCTCCTTTCCTTTAGCTGGCAAAAGGAATTACATCGATCATCTTTTCAAGTTCTTTTTTCCCCCCAGTCAGGATAAAATCTGATAGCAGTGATTTCTCTGTCCTATTACTGACTAGATTGAAGATGGGTGATGGGGCTGATAATGACCTCTCACAGTTTAGACTTTGATCTTTCTTCCCTTTGGGGTCTTACAAGGAAACCGAATCCCAGAGAGGTCAGGCTCTCTGCCTGTTGTCACCAGCTGGTTTGGGGTGGAGGCTGGACTAAGTCCCATATTTCCATACCCTGGATCCAACACACGGCCCACAGCCCACAGAGGGCCCAGGGAATTTGGGAGAGGAGCGAGAGACCCAAATCTCCAAGGTGGGGCCTGGCCCAGGTCAGGGCTGGAGGAGGGGCTGGGACCAAGTTGGAGTAGTGGGCAACGGGGTGTGGGAGGAGGGCCAGCCTTGCCGCACGCGCTTCCTACATGGTGTGTACAGCCTCGTCTGCAGCTCTGCGTGGAAGAGGTCCCTGACGATGGCTCCATCATCCTCATTCTTTGCCAGCCAGCGGCCACAGGGGAATGTCATGCACTTTCCAAGAGATGGGGCGTCCACCTCTACCCAGTCTACAAACCAGCCTGGAGCCTTGCCTGGAGAGAAGGAAACACAGAACCTACCAAGGAGCCACACAGATGGCTCACTGTGGGCAAGTTCAGGGACTCCAAACTTTCTCCCCTGCCCCATGGTTGACATGTATGGCTGTACCCCGCACAAGCCATTCCTGTCGCTGAGAGCTTTGCTAGAATGACTCCTGTTCAGATGTACACCCAGCTGAAGGCTGAAGCTGGGTCACACTCCAGGCTGCTGTCAGTGAAATTAGCAAGAGCACAGGAGCCTGGGGAAGAGGTGACAGAAGGTGACAGCAAGCACACTGTCCAGGGTGGAAGACACTCTAAAGAGGGAGCTCAGAGATGCCAGAGAGAGCCTGTGTTAACAAGGATTTCATAATTCCACCCAGCGGCAAGGATGACAGTCTGAGCTCCCTGGCTTCCGTTTGGGGTGCATGAAGGGAATTTGTGAAGGACTGATGGTCTTCCCTGGAAAGATGAGTGACTGGGCTTAAAGAAAGAAGTGGAAGCTGAGCAGAGAACTCTGTCTCTCCATCCCAGGGGCCAGCGAGAGTGACTCCTTCCTTAGGCTTAAAATTTAGTGAAAAGACCAAGAAAACAAGTCCTACTTTACTAAAAGAGAACAAATTTTGGCTGTAGTGTCAGTGGGTTCTGGGAAGAATTGACTAGATCGGTAGTTCTCAAAGCGGAGTCCAGCAGCCTCAGCATCATGTGTGAGAAATATAAATGTTGGGCCCCACCCTAGACCTACTGAATCAACGCCTGTGTGGGTGAGGCCCAGAAATCTATGTTTAACAAACCCCCAAGGTGGCTCTGTTGCTCACTGAAGTTGGAGAACCACTGAGCTAGATCGGGGATTCTCAAATGTGGCCGTACAAAGAAATAACTGACGGTAGGGGTTTGGAGAAATCACTGGGGTCCAGGCCCCAGCTCAGGGGCCAGCACATTTAGCAAGTGGGGGGGTGTCCTTTTATTGAGCTTTGTAATTAGTCTTCAAGGTATGTACTTTTATTTCCAGTTTGTACCTAAAGAACAGGAGACACACCAAGAGGTCTTATTCAAGACCATCCAGGAGAGAGTGGTGGGGCCCTAAGTCAGTGTCAGCTCTGTTTCCACTCTCTACGTGGGGAGGAAGCCAGTGACAAAACCACCCTCCCCATGCTCCCTGGGGCATCATGGACATCCTTGAACAGAAGGAGAAAGCTGGCAGAAGTCATAGAGAACAGACCAGTCACTGTTTGGACTGGGAGGCCCTTCACTATGGTTTCAAAAGGTAAACAGAGTGATGCCTCCAGGAAGGTCCCAGGAAATGGTAGTTTCAGAAAGGCCTAGAGCAAGAATGACCAGAATCTCTGTGTGCAGCCAGGGACTGAGGAAGGGACTGAGAAAGCTGTGTCACCATGGAAGGCAGATGACATCCAAATTTCCTGCACATTCTTTCCCAGACACCCACAGGGACCTGGTAAGGACAGAGGGGGAGGGAAGCCAGACCTGTGTTATCATGACCAATCCTGACTTTCCGCAGATCTCCCAGGTCCAGCGTCTCCACTGTGAAGATTTCGATGCTGTCCCTTTCAAACTTGTCGCTGTTGGTCTTGGAGGATTTCAGGAGGGTCATTCCTGCCAACCAAATGGCCCCCACATGACTGGCTGGGCCTGAGACCTTCAAATCTAGTCTGACTGCCCCTTTTAGTCCCTCCTCATAATGACCAAACTTTTCTGACTTTCATAAAATTTAGACTTTGCAAGTACTATCCAACGGGCACCTTTGCATATTTAGTGCACATTTAGCAAGTGGGGGGGTGTCCTTTTATTGAGCTTTGTAATTAGTCTTCAAGGTATGTACTTTTATTTCCAGTTTGTACCTAAAGAACAGGAGACACACCAAGAGGTCTTATTCAAGACCATCCAGGAGAGAGTGGTGGGGCCCTAAGTCAGTGTCAGCTCTGTTTCCACTCTCTACGTGGGGAGGAAGCCAGTGACAAAACCACCCTCCCCATGCTCCCTGGGGCATCATGGACATCCTTGAACAGAAGGAGAAAGCTGGCAGAAGTCATAGAGAACAGACCAGTCACTGTTTGGACTGGGAGGCCCTTCACTATGGTTTCAAAAGGTAAACAGAGTGATGCCTCCAGGAAGGTCCCAGGAAATGGTAGTTTCAGAAAGGCCTAGAGCAAGAATGACCAAAGGATCCGGCACCATTACCTAAGGAGAGGATGCTGAAGGGAAGATGATTCATATGGCTTCCAAATACTTCTAGGGTGGTAGACATAGCAATGAGGACAGGAGAGAGGACCGGGGGCTCTCTGCCCCCTGGAGTACAATAGGACTGACTTAGTAAGATTTAGGAAGAATCTCTAAAGGAACCAAAGTTCACAATCCAAGTAGACAAGTCACCTCATGTGGAGATTTTTTTTTTTAAAAGATTTATTTATTTATTTATTTAAGAGAGAGAGAGAGAAAGGGAGAGAGAGTACAAGCAGGGGCAGGGGCAGTGGGGGAGAGAGTCTCTAGCAGACTCCCTGCCGAGTGTGGAGCCAATGCCGACTCAATCCCAGACCCTGAGATCATGACCTGAGCCGAAATTAACAGTTGGATGCTAACCAACTGAGCCATGCAGGCGCCCCTCACTTGGAGATTTTTAAGAAAAAGGAAACTGCCTTTTTCCAGTAGGGCTGGTTGCATGTAATCTGTCAAGTGTGTGAGGCATGCAAGAATACACAACAGGAAAAGGTCAGTCTCTTCCAGAAAACTGGAATGAATGTGGACCCTTATCTTTCACCATACACAAAAGTCAACTCAAAATGGATTACAGATTTAAACATAAGACTTGAAACTGTAAAACTCATAGAAGAAAACATAGGGGGAAAGCTTCATGACATTGGTCTTGGCAATGATTTCATGGATATGACATCAAAAGCATTAGGCAACAAAAACTAAAACAAACAAGTGGGTTGAATCAAACTAAAAAGTTTCTGAACAAAGGAAACAATCAACAGAATGAAAAAGCAACTTACAGAATGGGAGAAAATATTTGCAAACAATATTCTGATAAGGGTTTCATTACCACAATATCCTACAATTCAATAACAAAGAGCTAATAACCCAATTTAAAAAAATGGGCTAAGGACTTAAATGGACATTTCTCCAAAGAAGACATACAAATGGCCAGTGTATGAACAAAATGTTCATTGTCACCAAGCTTCAGGGAAATGCAAATCAGAACCACAACGAGATCTCATCTCACACCTATCAGGATGGCTACCCCCAAAAATCAAAAGACAGCAATTGGTGAGGATGTGAAGAAACTGGAACTCTTGTACACGGTTGGTGGGAATGCAAAATGGTGTAGTTGCTATGGAAAATAGTATGAAAGAGCCTAAAAAAATTAAAAATAGAACTACCATATGATCCAGCAATCCCACTTCTGGGTATATATCTAAAATAATTGAAATCAGGATCTTGAAAAGGTATTAGCACTCCTGTGTTCATTACAGCACTATTAACAATAGCTAAGGTGTGGAAAAAAACTAACTGTCCATTAACTGATGAGCAGATAGAAAAAACTGTGATATATCCATATAATGGAATACTATTCAGCCTTAAAAAAGAAGGAAGTTCTCCAGTATGCAACAATGTGGATGGTCCTTGAGGACATTACATTGAGTGAAATAAGCCAGACACAGAAAGACAAATATAGCATGATCCCACTTATACAAAGTATCCAAAATAGTCAAATTCATAAAATCAAAGACTAGAATGGTGGTTACCAGGAGCTGGGGAGAGGAGAAGATGGGGAGTTATTAATCAACAAGCGTACTTTCAGTTTGTAAGATTAATGAGCTCCAGAGATCTGCTGTACAATCTGTATCTATCGTCAACAGTGATGCATTATACATTTAAAATTTGTTAAGAGGATAGATCTCATGTTAAGTGTTCTTCCCACAGTAAAATAAAGTAAAACAGTAAAAGGGAATTCTTGCAAAACAGAGGCGTGACCAGGATTTCTTTGGAAAGTTCTATTGACTCTCCTTATCTCCTTAGGGAGGAATGTGGGTGAGCCTCGGCCCCGCATTGCTTACTTACCAGTGTTGTCTTGTGTGCCAAAGAGCGTGATGAAGACGTTGGCATCTGTGCCCGCATTCTTCTTGTCCCCAGTTTTTACGGTCACTGAGAATGTGGTAGATTTGTCTGCCGGGAGAGGAGTGTGGAGAAGTGAGTGGTAGATTGCCCCTCCCATGGAGGGAGGAGGGAGAAAACATACTGAGTATGTTTCTACATTCATGTTGACCATTTCTATGAATTGCTTTACTTGTAGCATGTGTTGTTCTGCAGTTGCCTTTAGTCTGGAAACTTCCTCAAGGCAGAGGTGAGGTCTCCCCCACCTCCAGGTCACACAGGAAGCTCTCAATCAACAGAGGTGTAGGATGCTTAGGGGAGACGGGCTCATCAGCCAGGAGCCTGGTCTGACTCCTCCAGCTTGGGAAGAGTTTTAGGGATGCAAGTTTCAAGGAAGGGAAGCATCTTAGAATTCTTGAAAGTTCATTCTTTCCCTTGACAAAAATGTATTGAGAGCTTATAATGAGCCTGGAGGGGAGGACACAAAACTAAATCAGAGCCAGCTACAACTATTCTATCCTATTCTATCCTATCCTACCCTGTCCTATCCAATCCCATTCCACTCCATTCCTGACAGTAACTCTGTGCTAAGCCATGTACTTTACACCGAGCCTTACGCTAGACATGTGGGAACATGTCTTGTCACCTCCCCACTCTTGCCATGGAGGAATGAGAAGGCAGTATAGAAACTGCCAGAGGAGGAGTTGCCCAGAGCCCACAGGGAAAGGGAAGATGGAAACTGAGGATGGGGGAGAGGCAGAAGGGAGGGATGCTGGAGGGAAGAACCAGCTCTAGTTTAGGAAACCTTTCTGCTCGAGGGCCAGGCTGTTGAGGGGGTTGCTGTCACCCCCTCCCCCACCCTCCTCATCCTGGCTTGGCAGCACGCAGGACTCGTCCACTGGCAGTAGCTCCCGGGACAGCTGGCCATCATCCTCCTCCACAGCCAGCCAGCGTTGGCATGGAAAGTAGTACCTGTGGGGTGGGGAATAAGGTAAGGTTGGGGACATCTCTTTGGAAAGGTTTCATGAAGGAGCAGTCCTGGGTGGCAAAGCGAGAGGCCCTCAGGGGCCCAGACACTCCCGTCTGCCCCCCTCCCAAAAGCATGGCCCTCCCATCCTACCTAGCCTAGGGATTACCCTATATAAGAGTCACTTGCCTGGAGCAGACAACAAATATGAAGACAAGGTTTGAAGATAACCCATTGAAAATGGCTGTGAAACAGCGCCTGGAGCGTATCAAACCCCCACTCAGGGTCGTGTTGGAGGTATCTAGAAGAAGAGCTTTCAGGGACTATACCGGAATGAATCTGGTAGCCAAAGCTACTTTGGCAGAGAATATTGTACACAGTAGGTGTTCAATACCTAAGGGCTGAATAAATGGATTTTAATGGAATGATACCCAATTATGCTTCTGGAAGGTACAAAGAGTGTGGCTAAGAAGCAGGCACAGCAGAAAGCTGGCAGCATCTAGGGAAGGGAGGTCCAAGTTAGACTCCTCAGGACTGAAGCCGAGCCCAGTGAAATGGAGACACCTAGATAAAGAGAAGTGGGGGGGGGGCGGTGCAGGGATCACAGAGGCAGAGGCAGCAACATGGGGTAGTTAAGGACTCACCTCTGGAGTCATACTGGGTTTGAATCCTGGCTCTGCCACTTAACAGTCCTGTGACCTTGAGCAAGTTTCTTTACCTCTCTGTGTTAGGGTTGCCAGATTTAGCCAATAAAATCACAGGACTCCTAGTTAAATTTGAATTTCAGAGAAGCAATGAATAATATTTTAGCGGAAGTATGTCCTATCCAATATTTGGGGCACACTTACACTAAAACACTATTCACTGCTTCTCTGGAATTCAATAACTGGCCATTCTGTATTTTATCTGGTAACCGCACTCCGTGCTTCAGTTTACCATTCTGTAAAATGAGGATCATATTGCTTATTTCAAAGATGTCACGAGGATTATGTGAGTTAAACATTTTAAAGTGCTCATAAAAATGTCCGGTTCTTGGTAAGAATTTGTTAATACTATTGCTGTTGTTATTCTTATTATTGTACTTCCCTTTGTTTCTCCTCTGCCCATGTGTGCGATCTCTGGAGCCTGTGGGCTGGACAGATCCCCTTGGGCGCCCAAGCTCCCAGAACAGCTCAGGGGGTCGGGGAATACAGCCAGCCCATCTGTAAACTGGGGCCATTCCACCCCATCTCCACCCCTTCCTGCCAGTCTGGATGCCCAAGTCTGGAGTCTGGAGAGGAGGAAGCAGTGTGGGCTGAGGGTCTCACCTCTGTCAGAGCCCCATGTTCCCCAATAGACATTATAGACTCCCAAGGCCAACATGCTAGCGGAGCAGAACCTGAGACCACTACTTCAGCCCGCGGGCTCACACGGGGTACAGAGGGGCAATTCTGTGTTCATGGACATGGATTCAAAGGGTGGAAGAGCTCGACCAGGGGTGATAGAGACTAAATTGCAGTTAAATTAGTGTTTAAGTGAAAAATGCATATTGCTCCACATCCCAGTCTTTAAATTATGAACAGGAAAGTTACATTTTTATTCAACCAATTAACCTATGAATAATAGGCTTTAGCTCTAAATTAGGGCCAATTAAAGGAGAGACAGAAATAAAGAAAGGAGTGGGGTTGGAGCAGAGGCAGAGACAATGAGAGTGGGAAGCTGGAGCAGAACAAGGACAGAGGGAGGAGACACAAAGAAGGAGTGGGAGACTGATCCCCGGAGAGAGAAACCAGTCAGACAGACGGAAGGGGTAAGGCACAAGCCCACCCACACCTGCCAAGCATGTGCAAGTGCAGGGACCCAGAGGCTGGCTTTCACGGAGCGCCCTCCCCACTGCCCCTGAGATTCTGTGCTGGGACCTCGAAGCCCCTCACCACCACCACTGGCTGTGGGAGCCCCTCGGCCCTGCTTCTGTGCCTCCCACATCACACCCACAGCTCAGCTGATTGAGCACCCTTTCTTCCAAGCCCCAAACATCAAGGTTTGTGAAGGCCCATCTGAAATGCCGCCTCAGACCGAGGAGCGCCCCGACACCCCCCACCGCAAAGCCCCCCTCTCCCTGAACCCCCTCGGCAGTTGGGGGCGCCACCCTGAGACGCTCTGCCTTGCAGCCCCCACGGCCCCATGAGCTCCTTCACAATCCTGCACATGCCCATTCCTGCCTTGCTGTGTGGCTGCTTTTACAGGCTGCCCAGCCTGATCTGCACTGCCAAGGCAGAGGAGTCCGTGCCGCCTTCCGCTGGGGGCCAGGCGCGGCACTGAGCCCTCACACGGGTCATCTCAGTTAGTCCTCATCACGACTTTGTGAGTGAGTTTTATTACGCCCATTGCAAGGATGGGAGAACTGAGGCTCAGAGCACCCCCCCCACCAAGGCCACACACGTCAAGCGTGGAAGAGACAGGAATTGGACCTAAAACATCTGCCTCCTAGACCATCACAGTTTCCGGCTCTTCAAGGGCAGAGTCGGAATCAGCCACCTGACCCTCAGCACTTTGCATGCCATGTGTTTGCTGAATGAATCAATGAATCAATACATCAAACGTAATTTTTATTCATTAGTTGACTTAGTATTTGTGGTATGCCTGTTGTGCACAGGCCCTCTTCTAGATACCGGGGAGGACACGGCAGGGAACAAAACAGATGAAGTCGTTAGCTTAGGCAGGGGCCTTATATTCAGTTACGGGGAGAGGAAAAACGACGAGATATTGCATTTGAGGGGCACCTGGGTGGCTCAGATGGTTAAGCATCTGCCTTTGGCTCAGGTCGTGATCCCAGTGGGACTGGGCCCTGCATTGAGCTTCCTGCTCAGCGGGGAGTCTGCTTCTCCCTCTCTCTCTGCTTCTCCCCTCTGCTTGTGTGCTCTCTCACATGAACAGTGAATAAATAAAATCTTTAAAAAAAATACTACAGTTGATGGTAGATCAAATGATAAGTGAGGTAGAGAAAAAGAAACAGAGGAAAAGAGAGAAAAGTTCCAAAGGGGGTTGGGACCTTGATGAGTAGGTGACACCTGGCTCTAGAGACCTTACCTAGAGAAAGTATGAGAGTGAGCCATTGTGGGAAGGAGTACCAGGGAGAGGGGACAGCACATGCAAAGGCCCTGAGGTGGGACCATGACCATCAGGTTCAAGGAACAGCAAGGAGTGAGCAAGATGGAGATCAGGACCAAGAGTTAAGGAGGGGGCATGGGGCAGGCCCCACTGGAAGTGCTCTGGCTCTTACTCAGAGTGAATGGGAGCCTCTGCAGGTTATGAAGCAGAGGAGGAACACGTCCCTGCGGGCTGGACTGCCGCAGACACAGGAGGGCCACGGTGCGGCAGGGGGACCGGGCAGGAGCCTCTGGCCAGGGCTGGAGAAGATGGAGAGATGGAGTCTGACTCACAGCAGTGAGACAGGATGGCGAGGGGGGGAGAGGAGATGAGGAAGCCGGGAGTGGAGGAGGGAAGACAAAGAGAGACAGAGGGAAGAAGACGAGCAAAGAGAAGATACCATTCACCGGAGTGATAAAAATACAAAATATTTGGGCATAAACTTAATAAGACTAGAAAATTGTGTAGCATTGCTGAGATACGAGAAGGAACAGTTGGATAAATGGAAATGCATACCTGGGAGCAGCACTTAATATTCTAAATATATAATTCTCCACACATACATTTAATGGCATAACAATCAAAATTCCAACAGGATTTTTTTTTTCAAATCACTTAATGTCTTGATTTGAAAAGGTAAGAAAAGCTAATATTTTTTAAAGAATAATGGAAGAGGAGAGTAATATGCTGAGCGAAATAAGTCTATCAGAGAAAGACAATTATCCTGTGGTTTCACTCACATGTGGGATATAAGAAACAGGGCAGAGGACAGTGGGGGAAAGGAGTGAGAACTGAATCAGAGATGGAGACAAACCATGAGAGACTCTTAACTATGGGAAACAAACTGAGGGTTGCTGCGGGGGGTGGGTGGGGGATGGGGTAACTGGGTGACAGGCAGGGTAGAGGTGGGAGATGGGGTGAGACCCATCACCCACTGCCCTGCACAGAGGGGAACCCAAGAACAGGGCATGCTCCAAGAGATACCAGATCGCAGGCCAAGAAGTGAAGTCAACACATACTTACTGGGTGCCCACTATATCCCAGGCACTGGCAGGCCCTCAGCAGAGCCATAACCCACTCAGGATCTTGCCTGCTTTCCTCTCTACCTCCTTCCACACCTCCCTATCACACCTCGGGCCTTCTTTCATGTCTATTGTCCCCTGGCCCCTTTTGCTCAAGAGGCAATGGGGCGTAATGGTGGAAACACACCAGATTCATCACTGATGATCTGGAGTTCTGGTCTTGGCTCCGGCATGAATTGCCTCTAGGGCTGTGGCTTCACCTCCTTGGGGCATGATTCCCTCTCCTGTCAGGAGGACAATGTCCCCTTCCTAACCTAGCTCCTGGTGGTTGCTGGGAATCTGGAACAGGGGCCTGCAAACTATGGCCTAGTGGCCAAATCTGGCCTGCTCACCTGTTTATGTACACCCCAGAAGCTAAGCACGAATTTTACATTTTTAAATGGTTGAAAAAAATCTAAGGAACAGTATCACTTTGTGACATGTGAAAATTACATGAAATTCAAGTTTCAGTGTTCATGAATCCAGTTTTACGGGAACACAGCCACATCCATCCAGTTAGGTATCATCTGTGGCTGCTTCCCTGTTGCAAAGCAAATAGATCAACTGAGACAGAGAACAAATGGTCCCAAAGCCTAAAATATTTACTCTCTGGCCGTTACAGAAAAAGTCTGCTTACTCCTGGTCTAGAACATTAAAACAATGGTACTGGAAGCCACTTCGTATGCAGAGGGACGGATAGGTGACTAAGTCTGGGCATGGAGAATGACAGGGACAGGAAACGTGACCTTCTGAACTGATGGATCGCAAGAACTAGAGGGAAGGACCTACCAGATTGTCCCTTGACAGGGCAGTAGCTCCCCAGGGGGCTGCCCAGTAAGAAGGAAGAGAGGGAGGCAATGCCCACCCAGCCGCCCCACCCCCACCCTCAGCCCTTTTTCCAGGATTGTCTCAGAGGCAGCCGTGGCTGTCCCCCCTCCCCCCGCCCCGCCCCACCCCAAGCCCAACTCACGTGATCTCGTTGTTCATGTCCGTGATGTCTATTCTGTCCAGGAACCAGCCTGGTCTGTTGCCTGAGTTGTCATGGCGAATCCGGATCTTGGCCAGAGCTCCCAGGTCAATAGCATAGATGGTGAAGGTGTCAGTCTGGGAAGGGCCAGGGAAGCACTCAGAGGGAAGGCCTTCGGCGCGCAAACACACACACACACACACACACACACACACACACACACGGTACTTCCACCACAACACACAGTCCAGCCATCAGCTTCACCTTCCCAGCACCTAGGGCAGCCTGAGGCCAGTTCGGGGAAAATGCAGCCGGCTGACTGGTGGATGGCCTGCACTGTCGTTTTTTTAACCCGCCCCCACCAGGGGGTCTTCTCACTCTTGCTGTGTCCCAAAGGGTGGAGGGAAGAGGGAGAGGGCCATGAAGGTGACCAAGGGGCAGAGGAGAAGGTAGGTTGGCTGGCCACCCTCATTTGTGTTATGGGATGTGTGCGTGTGTGTGCCTGTGTGTGTGTGTGTGTGTGTAGGGCCGCTGTTGGGTGTGTGCTGAAACTCCGAGCTAAGTGTGAACCTGTGTGCATAAACCCCTTCAACCACACATTTTGATTAAGCACCTGGGATGAGCCAAAGTGCAAATCCAAAGTGATTTACAGAATTCAAAGTGTAAATCCAAAGTAACTCACAGAAACAGGAGACTTGCCCTTGCTTACCACATAGGTGGGAAGACAATATGTACGACACGAGTGTGTGTACATGCCCTGCAGGAGGCGGGCAGCCTCAGGACCTGATAAGTGAATGGGATTCTTCTCAGCTATAACTTTTTAAACTCTTTATATTGAAAAACATTGCAAGTCTACAGAAAACTTGCAGAAACAGTACGATGAAATTTTGCAAGCCCTTCCCCTAGATTTCACATTTGCTTGCCCTGTCTCTTTTGCTCGTTGTCTATTTTTTTCTGAATCATGTTAAAGTAAGTGGCGGATACCATGATTCTTCACCTCCGAAGTCTTCAGCAGAGCTCTCCCAAAACAGGGGTTCTCATATAATCACAGGACAATTACCAAATTCAGGAAACATAACATTGACACAATATTACTATCGAAGTCTGTATGCAAATTTCATCCAGTGTGCCAGTTATGCCCTCTCCAGCAGTTTTCTTCCAATCTGGGATCATAGTGGCTATAATTTTTTAAAAATTTTTATTTATTTGACAGAGAGAGACACAGCGAGAGAAGGAACACAAGCAGGGGGAGTGGGAGAGGGGGAAGCAGACTTCCCACGGAGCAGAGAGCCTGATGCGGGGCCCGATCCCAGGACCCTGGAATCATGACCTGAGCCGAAGGCAGATGCTTAACGACTGAGCCACCCGGGTGCCCCATGGCTATAATTTTTAAAGGAAAGTATGAAAACATGAAATAAGCCCTAATCCTCAAGTCTTGGCAAGGGAGTGTTGGAAGACAAGGCAGACAGCCTCTGAAGTACATCAGAGGAGCCCCCAGGTACTTTCGTGGGTTGGGTTTCTTTCTTTTCTTCCTCTGTGTGGAGGAGGGAACGTGGCTTTGAGATCAGGGGCAGGAATTAGAAAGGTGACACAGGACAGTCTTCCAGCCAGAGCATACTGTAAAATCTGGAAGGACAAAGGGCACAGCTGGGTTTTTCACGCTTTTCCCACTATACCTGGAAGAGGGGCATGCGTGCATTTCTTTCAACGCTCAAAAGACTTTGTGTCTCCCACCAGAGCAGGCAGGACGCGGGCCAGGCTTCTCAACCTTCTTTCAAGGTTCTCATGCCCCACTCCCCTTCATCGGGCTCATCAAGCTTCCCAGGGGCAGTGCCCACCCTGGCTCAGCACTAACAAGCGCAGCGGGAAGATTCATTGTCCTCGAGCTGGCCTTCCACATTTCCAGCCCACATCTTTGTCCTGCGGTCCCATCCCTGGGGAACACCTGTCACGGTCATCCTTAGACATCTATACCACAGTCCCCCGCCATGGCCCAGGGTACAGCTCTCCTTCCTACCGTGTTTTCCCCAAAGCGCCATCAGCACTTCCCCCTTGAACCCCTGCTCTGGCCACTCAGCACCTGAGCTTCTGCTACCTCTACTAGCTCTGGTTAGTTCCTGCAGGCTTCACGGTGCTGGACGCCCCCCTCCCCGGGCCTTTCTTATGGCCCCCAGCACAAAGCGCCGGTGCCTACAGAGGAGCCACTCCCATGATATCTGGGTGGACTGGACAAAGCACCCTGCTGGACACTGTGCTGTTGGGGGCCAGGGGGTGGCCTCAGGAATCAGCAGTCTCCACCACCTGCCCAAGGGCCAGAGAGCCCACACTCTACCTGTCCCTGCTCAAACTTGTTGGGCTTGTCTGACTTCTTCAGGGGCCGCTCGCCAGTGTCTCCATACTCCTCACCGTAAATGGTCAGGTAGACGTTGGCATCAGTGCCAGCCTTGGGCACGTTCCCTGTGATCACCTGGACCTCATAGGTGTTGGCTGGGGACAGAGAAAAATGCAGTGTTGAGGATACCAGCACTCAGGGTGGATCTGAGGCTCAGCCTCTCAGATGCAGCCAGCTCACGGGAGCGGGAAGGACCCACGGATTCCTCTGCACCTGCACTAGCCTGGAACTAAACCTATCCCTCCTCCCCACTCAAGACTTTCCTTTGCCATGAAGCCCGAGGAGGCTGGGAGTCACGGGAAAATGCCTTCAGCAGCCCTCCTACCTCATGCCCCACTGGGAGCCATAGTGAACTATATCCAGGCTCCTCCTGGAGTCCTGAACCCCTCCTGAGAGCTGCAGCACAGGGGCAGAGCTAAGCCCACACAGAGACCTGTCTGTGGTGGGTGTTCAGACACAGGTCAGGAGACCTATTTGGGAACCATGATGGGTGCCCCCCGCTCTGGGGCCGCCATGTGACAGGAGAGCTAGACACCCCCCTGCACCAAGCCCCCTTCAGCGGCCGGGCGGACCCCTCCCCAGGCTTACGCTCAGGACCCGGCCGGCCTGCCGGCACCAGCTCCACGACAAGTTCATTGTCCTCCTTGCCCCGGGCCAGCCAGCGGTGGGCTTCGAACTTGTACTCCTCAATCACCTCCTGCATCCCAGGCCCAAATTGCTCCTCCTCCTCCTCCTCCTCCGTCTCCTCCTCCTCCTCCTCCGAGGACTCCTCCTCCGAGGACTCCTCCTCCTCCTCACCCCCCTTGTCCTCCTGGTCACTGCCCTTCTTCTTCTTCTTCTTCCTCTGCAGCTTGGCCTTCAGCCGCTCCTTCTTGAGCAGCTGCCGCAGCTTGTCCCTCTCCTTCTTCTTCCGGGCCTCCTCCTCGGGCGTGAGGTCCACCTCCCGCACCACCAGGTGTCGCAGCCACAGTGTGTCCACGAACCAGCTGGGTCCGAAGCCTTCGCCCGTGTGCCCCAGCCGGATCTTGAAGACCTCACCCACGTCCTCCGCCTCCAGCTGTGCAAAGCGCAGGGCAGTGGCTGGGGCGGCCCCTGGCATCCTCCCCGCCTCCCCTGCGGAGCCCAGCACGGGCCTGTGTGCGGAGCTGCAGGATGGGGAGGCCCCGAGGCCCAGGGCCTCTGGCCCAGAGGCTTCCACCAACTCCCCTTCTCCAACCACATTCAGCCTGGTTGCTGCACCAGCCTTCCAGGACCTCTTGGAGGCCCCACCCTCCACCCAAACCTATTTCCTTTTAACCCCAGGCGATGGTCAGGATGACCCTGTCTCTCTGTCTCTTCCCCTTCTTCCCCACCCCACGCACGCACACGTACGCACACGTACGCACACTCACGTGCACATCACACTCACCCCTGTTACTCCTGGTTCCGGAGCGTTCCTCATGCATTCCCCTCACCCAGAATGCCTTGATTCCCTCTTCTACCTCCAAGTAAAAGCTATTCATCCCATTTTCTGAGCTTTATTACTACTTTCCTTTTTAGTTTGTGCTTCTCTGCATTCTCTTTCCAAAGTTATTTTTTTTTAATCATGAATCACATATAACTTTTGAAATAAGCAAGAAAAAAAGTGTTATTTTTCAAAAAACAAAAAAATCTCACCCACATCCCCAGGAACCCCGAGCCCCTCCCCAGCACAGAGCAGGCCCCGAGCTTGGCTATGGTCCTGGCCTGTCCTGGATGCCCTCCCTGTTCACATGAGTTGCTCCCTGCCCACTGGAACAGAAATTCCTAAAGATAGGGACCGTTCGTTCTTGCTTCTCTCCCCCATGGGGTCTGGCATACGGCTGGCTCAAAGGGCAGTGTGGATGGATTTAGCTTTCTTCAGAAGATCAGGTCCTCAAGCCTTTGGTCTGCCACTATGTTCTAAGCCTCACACTGCAGTGAGGCCCAGCCCCTGCAGACCTCGGGGGAGGGCTCACATGGGGTGCCTGCTGGTTGGGCCACTCTTAGGGTTCCCCACTCTGATGGTCTGGGTGTCTGACACTTTTCAAAGTCTGGTGCCACCAATTTTCTCACATGTGTCCCAGTGAAACTAAGATCTGGGGCTGTCCCCATGCATTGCTCAATGCCCTGTAACTGGAGTCTGGGCCTAGATGAGAACTCAGGTCTTCTGACTCTGTTCATGAAGCTACAATGTAGCCAAAACCACCTTTATGAGAAAATGATCAGCATCAGCCAAAATGGAGCCCAGGAGCCCCGAGAAAGAGGCATTTTTTTCTTCTCAGCTACTGAGAGGATGGGCTCTGGACCTGATAAGTTCCTTCTTCAGCACATGAAATCTCTCCAGAATTTTCCAAGCACAGCATCCTGCCATCAACCTCTGCAGGCAGGCCTGCTCACCTTCCCCTCTGCCCACATCTGTCTGCCCAGCCATGACTGCGTCCAACACCACCTCCAGCCACACAGCCTGGCGGCACTGGAAGATGCCCTGCTCTCTTACGTCTCCACAGCTGGTCATAATTTCCCATGGACTTTCTCTGACATTGGCTGTTTTGATCCTCCCAAGGACTGTGAAGCAGGCTAGGGAGGTAGTCTAAGGCTAGGTTTGAACTGATGAAGAATCTGAGGCTCAGAGAGGTGCAATCCTACGGCCTCTACCTCCTCAGCGGAGTAATAGGGGGTTGGACTCAGTGAGGCCGCCTCCAGCACTAAATGTTCCATACACCCTGGTCCAGCTCAGCCAGGCCCTTCTCTGCTGGGCCCTGGGGTAGGACTCTTTGCTGAGGGCTGTCTGTGGCACACAAATACACAGAGAACACCCAGCATGAATATGCTTCCGGCATACACATATCTGCCCACATACACACGCACTAGTATCCCATACAGACGCTCATATTTCCCCCAAGGGGCATCACATTTGCATCCTCCTCTCCTACCAGCAGTATGCTCACATCCTCATCTCTTCTTCTTCTCTACTCAAAGGGAAGTGAAGAGTCCTGGGGCACTCAGAACACAGCCAGGAGACTCCTCCCCAGATCCCGCATGGGAAGCATGGCCCTGCCCACAGGCGGGGGGAGCTGTATAACCAGAGGCTGGCAGCTGCTGCAGTAATCAGGGGCCTCCTGCCATACTTTGCCAAATTAGAACCATCTACTCCAGCAGTACTCAGAATTGCAGCATGTTAGCCTCCCTGGAAGAGCTTCTAGAAGCCTAACCCAGAAAACCTACCCCACCATAGAGGTTCTGACTTAACTGATCCAGATGTGGGCCGGGCAGTCCTTTTTTTTCTCTTAAAGCTCCCCAGCTGATTCTAAGAAGCAGCCAGGGATGAGAACCACTGATCTAGTCCAATCCCTTCACTTTGGGGCACCCACTGGCGCTCTGTGGGCACCCCCACTGCCTTACCCCCACATACCTGGAATGTGTCCTTGGATGCACGATCGAAAACTTTCGAGCGGCTGGAGAGGAAGAGCACTTCTGTCTTGCCGTCCTCACCATAGATCTGTATGTAGACTCGGGCGGTGGTGCCTGCGCCACCCACGTCCCCCGTCCAAATCTCAACCTCATAATGGACCACTGGGTGGGCACATGGGGGAAAAACAGGACATTCAGCAATATTAACAACAGCAGGGATAGTGACAAAACAGACATTCCTGACCCCATACCACATCTGGTGCTTCACAGGTATTATCTTCTCTAATCCTCTCATCAGCAACATGATGAGGACTATCACCGCCATTTTGCAGGCTGACAAATTGAGGCTTAGAGGGACTGAGTAGATGGTAGAAATGGCAAGCTCAACCAGTCAGACTCCAAAGCCCAGTCATCCACTGCACCACATTCCTGGAGCCAAGAATGAGGAATAGTCAATATACCAGCTAGCATTCTCTACTGTGTGCCTAACCGTGGGCAGACACTACAGAACAGAAAGAAGCAAAGTCTGTGTGTTTGTCTCTTTTCCTTATTTTCAGTAAAGGACAAGGGATTGAAATTACAATTTTCTGTTTATATATATATATATATATTCTTAAAAATTTTATTTATTTATTTGAGAGAGAGAGCATGCATGTGTACACAGAGCAGGGAGGGACAGAGGAAGAGGGAGATAGAAACCCAAGCAGACTCTGCTGAGTGTGGAGCCCAATGTGGGGCTCAATCTCATGACCCTGAGGTCAGACCTGAGCTGAAATCAAGAGTTGGACACTCAACTGACTGAGCCACCCAAGCACACACATATATATATATGTGTATATATATATATATATACATATATATATATTTTAAGTAGGCTCTACCCCCAACATGGTGCTTGAACTCATGGCCCCAAGATAAAAAGTCACATGCTCTACCGACTGAGCCAGTCAGGCACCCCTGAAATAATAATTTTCATTTGAATATATGCATCTTTCAGATGATATCAACAGATATATCTACACAGAAAGAGTTGTCTGTACTTTGAAGTAATACTTCATCAAGTGGTTAGAGGGTGGAAATGTGATACAGGTATGCACCACTAGAGGGCATTTCCCAGTGAAGAGCAAAACGTCTACCAGAACTAAGGGATCATAGTTTTTCAGGGACTGCTATAAGACTTGCACTCCCAGCAATGCCATAACAAGGTATTATGATTTTTTTCCCCAAGATAAGACTTATTTTCAACAAGATGGAGGACCTTCCATTACCATAGCAATGTGAGAGATGGGGCAGAAAGCAAGAGGACTGGTTGAGAGCCTAAAGAAGTTGAACTAGAGATACCAGGATCAGCTCGGAATGCGGGTGGGTGAGTGTATGGACAACAAGGCGATTCAGTAAAAGCTGACATTCCGAATGGAGAGAATACCCAACCTCATTCCCTCTCTCAGATCCTACAGCAATAAGCAGCCAGGATTACACAAAACTTGGACAGATAAAAATTAGCATTCAGAAAGCAAGAACCGAAATTAACAGGGGGTAGCTAAAATAAAATATTCCATAGCAAGGATAAAATCAAGGACAGTACATAAGAACAAAAGAGGAAATTTCCCAAGAACAAAATGACAGATGATAGAAAGGTAAGAAAATCAGAAGAATTCCAACATCTTACCAAGAGTTCAGTTCTAAAGAATACAGAGAATATAGAGTTGGAAATTGTCAAAGAAATAATAGCCAAAGAAGTCCCAGAATTAAAAAATGCTTCTAGAAGGAGCCCATGAGTTCCCAGAACAACAGATGAAATTAAAATCACAAAAGCCAGTGAGGACATCATGGAATTTCAGAATGCCAGAAATGAAACTAGGATCCTATAAACTTTTAGAGAGAAAAAATCCCAAAGGTTCAGATAACAGAATGGCATCAGACTTCCCAGCTGCAACACTGCCAGAAGATGGTAGAGTAATTCCTTCTAAACTTTAAGGGAAAATGAGTTCTAAATCAGAATTCTGTAATGAGCCAAATTCCTGATCAATTGTGAGACATTTGCAGACATTTCTCTTCCATACACCTTTTCTCAGGAAGCTATTCAGTAGAAATGAAAAGAAGGAAGAAACCAAAGAAGAGGAAGACATGAAGTCCAGGAAACAGGAGATCCAACCAGGAGAAAAAAGAAAGGAATTTCCAAAAAGATGGCCAAAAGGAAGTCTCAAAGGACAGTTTCATGGCAGCCTAGAACCTTTAGAGGTTCCTAAAGGAATGTCTTAGGACGGGGAGTGAGTAGAAGGAGGTAGAGAGGAAACAGAATTGCTGTTGAGTTTGGACTTAGGAAAAGAATTTTAGTTCTTTTGGAGGGATGGAGAAAAAATGATGTTATGGGAGAACTGTCTCTTTCCCTCCAAATTCATTGTTGAAGCCTAACCCCTAGTAATTCAGAATGTGACTTATTTGGAGATAGGGCCTTTAAAGAGAAGATTAAGTTAAATTGAGGCCATTAGGGTGAGACCCTAATCCAATATGACTGCTGTCTTTATAAGAGGAAGAGATTAGGACACACACATGCAAAATGCCCAAAAGAAAGACCATATGAACATGCAGCAAGAAGGCAGCTATCTGCAAGGCAAAGAGAAAGGCCTCAGAAGAAACATAACTTCCTGACACTCTGATCATGGACTTCTGTGGGAAAATAAATTTCTATTGTTTAAGCCACTAGTCGTGGTATTTTGTTATGGCAGCCCTAGCACACTAATACAGATAGGTAGGTATATAGAAATACAGATGGATATATAGAAAACTACACGAATGAAAAATGAGGCTATTATTAACTTCAGAAAAAAACACAAAGTTGTACACTAATTGAAATGCAATCATCATACAATAGGGGTCTCAGCAGTGAATAATATTTACATAGTTATAGTAATGTAAAAATTGAATACTGATTTAATTTTATTGAAGGCTGGAAGGAGGGGAAGTGTGTATGTACACACACACACAAATACACGTGTGTTAAAAGAGCTAAGCTCTTCTCTTCCATTGTAGGAAGTCAAGAGTTAATGTCTATGAATAAAATAATAAAGAAATTGGTAAACGAATTAATAAAAATATAGAGATAAATTTCAGAGGAAAAGTGGAAGTAATTTAAAAATTGTTACCTCTGAAGAAGGGGGATGGTAAGGCGAAGGGAACTACTGCTTTTTAAAAATCTGTATCTTGTTAACTAGTACCTGTAGTACTGTGATAGAAATCAAATTTTAATTTCTAAAAGGAGGAAAAGAATTGATTTTTCACACTGGCAGGTACCATTACAAAGCCTGTATGTGTATGTGACACAGCCCTCAAGGAACCTACAGGATAGTTGGGAAGAGAAAATGCACACATGAAAAGACATAAGGAGTTCTGGGCAAGGAAGAGGTAAGTGCATATTGGGGTTCCTTCTCAGGGAAGCTTCTGGTGGAAGTGAGCCTTGGGCAATAGCATTCAGGGTAGATGTAGAAATGCAGAGCTGAGGGAAATGATATTCTCTGTATCAGTTTTTGGTGCCACTGTCTTTCTGACCCTCTAGATAACCTCTTGTTTCTCTGACCCTTACCATAACTACGGCTCTCACATCATGTACAAAGGGTGGCCAGATCACCTTGAACTTCACCTTCATTCAGAGATGTCACCACCCTGTCCCAAAATGTCCTCCACCCCCATGCCATGACTGTCACTCTATCCTGCTTCATTTTCTTCATCGCTCTTACTTGGCAATGTATTATATATTTATTGTTTGCCTCCCCTGGTGGAATGTAAATTCCACAAAGGCAAGGATTTGGTCTACTTTGTGCCTAGGGCAGTGCTGGCTCATATATTGACTAATATATATACTTATTAAATAAATGTATGAATAAACAGCTTTATCTCCTCAGCCAGTCTTCCCAGGGGAAGACACATACTATGTCTCAAACTCTTGTACACAGAGCTGAGAATGTACATTTCTTAATAGAGTCATTTACTGCCTTTATTCCAGAAAAAAAATGTTTCATCCATTGAGTCCTCAGTTTCCCCATCTGTACAATGAGCCCTTTTGCCCCTCCAAGAACCGTGATACCACAGGCAATCGAAGCCCCATTATCTCCCCTTAGAAACAAGATCCAAGTCACCCCATAGTCCCTCCTCCTTCCCCACTGCCCCATCCCATAGGGGAAACAACGCTGATGGTCAATGCTGCTTCCATACATTCCTGGATCTCCACGACCTCACTGGGATAGAGCTCCACCTCCAGGCGCCCATCGGCCTGGTTCTTGTCCAGCCAGCGGTTGGCGGGGAAGGTGTACTGCTTGCCTTGGCGGGGCACGCGGATCTGGACGCTGCCGAGGAACCAGCTGGCGTGCATGCCCGTGCTGTCATGCCCAATCACCAGCCGACTGATCTGGAGGGAAACCCAGGGTGTGAGTGAGCAAAGAGCTGGTGTGCAGAAACCTCTATACCTCCATCCCTACCCACTCTGCACCCTCCCAAACAACACTGGTACAAATTGCTGTCCTCAACCCAGATCTTCAGTTCTGCAGAAGAGAGGGGCTCAGCAGGAGGAGGCTGGGTCTCAGTCTTGTCTACCACCAGCCCGCTGGGGGACTAGGGGACCACTTTTCCTGCCTGGAGCCTCCGTTCCCTCCTCTTAAGAGCAGCTCACCTCTCGGGGAAGTTGTGAGAAGCAAGCGGGGGCAAGTGGGTGTGGCATGAACTTTGAAAGCGCCAGCATGTACTTGGGTAGTGGCCATACAAGAAAGCAAACATTCAAAACATTAACCATTTGCTTCCGATTAGCCATGTTATTGATTGGGCTTTGTTTGGTTTTAAAACAATACACTATTGCACATATTTTCTGCATTTCTTCTTTGACATACCTCTCTAGAGGTGACAGGATGGGTGGACAACCTCTCAGGACAGCCTCTCTGTGGTTCTATGCTCAACCCCTCCTCTTAGTCTTGGCCCCGAGGATCATCCATCTCTTTCCAGTAACACTCAACAGTCCACTTGCTTTGCTATTTTACATTTTAGCATCTTTACATTTAACATAGATGACTGCGTAGATCATCGTGTTACCATCCTTATGAGTAGTTGGTTCTTCAATGTTAAAACCGCTCTAGTGCTTTTTTGAAGTGCTGTTTGCAGGGCAATTCTAACATTAGGTGGAATTATCAAATAGCCTTTGAGATCCCCGCCAAGCCTCCCCCAGATTCTCTCTGTGATGGTTTGGAGAGGAAATGCTAGCCATGAGTCTGGGGTCAGAAGGCTAGTTCTAGAGAACTGTCCCTCCAAGCCCTGTTTTTGCTCTTACGAGTACGAAGTGCCTCTTTGAGCTGATAACGAAAACAACCATCATAATTGAGTGCCTGTAGCCTGGGTCCCCTGGAATTGGAGGAAGGAAACCAGCTTTGTTTTCAAAGCCCGATAGCCTTTTGGGTGGGTGCCAAGGGTCACAGGAGGGCTTCACTGTCTGTGGTGCTGGGACAGTGATGGGACCAGCTGGATGAGTACAGACGGGACAAGTGTCTTCTACCTGACCCAACGGGAAGCTCCTTAAGGACAGAACTCCTTAAGTTCTTTCAATTCCAGAACACCTGCACCTCCCTGGAGCAATAGTTCAGTCAATAGCAGCTAGTGTTGACCGCACACTTACTGTGGGCAGGGGGGTGTTAGAACATAGTTAAAGCTACCAACAATTCCATTAGCATCCCCCGTTGTTATGAATGAATGAGGCAAACAAAGGTGAAGTCACTGACAGGCTTGGCAGGTAAATGGGAAAGTGGAGGGGCCTCACGCAATCAGCTGCCAGACTGACCCTCCCAACCTCTCAGCCACACTGCTTGCTGGGGGGTTTCAGAAATACAAGGAAGGGCCTCAAACACCATTCCCCTCCCCCTTACATGTCTCGTCTATCTGCTGGCTGTTGCCAGAAATCCTCAGTAAAGGGATCAGCATTTCACCCTATGGTTATTAATTCAGCGGAAAATGTAAATGTATTTTAATGAAGGAAAACCTTGATTTAAGCTCATTACCATCGAGGGATAAAAAGGACTGACATGAGATCTTTCCCCAAGAGCATTTTCATGGAGTACCTGAAATAGGGTGAGGCTCAGAGAGAGGGGAAAGGAAGTGTAGGAAAGTAAGGTTGTAGACGGAGAGCTTGTCAGCACCCCGGTTCCTGCTAGCCACACCTTGAGAAGGGCAGGTGGTAATAGGAGCCCAGCTCAGAAATTTCTAGAAAAGTTTCCAATACTGTGGTCCAGGGTGTCAGATCTGTGCTTTTCCAGATGAAGAGCTCAGACTGCTAGCAGCAGGGCCACCTGGGGCCTTGACAGAGGGAGACCGTCAGGTGCCATCTTCAAAGGCAGAATCTCTCCAGTGTTGCTCGGGGTGCACACTGAAACAAGTCTCCTGAGAAGAACTCAGATGCACACTCGAGTTTGGAAATGGGAAGTATTTTCAGCCCCACTTTTCTTCCCTGCATTCCAGTGTCCCCTTCTTCAGTGTCTGGGACCCAGCTACATTGGTCTTGGCTATGTAGGTAAAGGAAATGTTGGGACTACAGACACCAAAAATAGACATGCCATCCCTAAAGGGACTGTGGAAGCCTAACCACTGTTGACATATCTTCTGCTGCTCTGGGTCATAGCTGGAAAACAACATACCTCCCCTATCCCCAAGTGGGCATTTTTTCCCTTCAAAATGGGTTCACCTGTGTGCATGTGAGTGCATATATGTGTGTGATGTGTGTGCATGTGGGTGTGGGTGTGATGTGTAAGTGCATGTGAGTGGGTGTGTGCACCCACATATGGATATATGTGGGGTGAGTGAGACCGTGTTTCGTGGTCTTGGGAAGGAGACTTACAGTACCAATATTCAGGGTCTCGAGGGTGAACTCATCCACCCGGGCACGTTCAAAATAGTCTTGCAGATTGTTGTCGGAGACCAGAAGAACTTGCTTGATGGTGTCAGATTTATCCCCGTAGAGCTTGATGTAGACCCTGGAGTCTGTGCTGGCCCCAGAGACATCACCTGTCTTCAAGCTGATGTGGTAGCGGAAGTCTAGGCAGTCCAAGGTGGGAGAGAGGGAGGAAGGGGTTAGCGCAGGGCGTGTAGGAAGGGCTGCAGCAGGAGGGTGGTCTGCAGCCAGGGTGGGACACTGGGCTAGGGGTCAGCAGCTGAGCCCTTGCTCTCTCTAAGTAGCCCTGTGATGGGGCAGGGCTCCCTTCATCTCTGTCGGGTCCTCTCATTGACAACACTGGGCTGCTAATGTCTGCTTGGCCTGCCCACGAGGTGTGAGCACGCCGAGAACAGGAAAGCATTCAAAGAACACTGAGTGCAAGAGACTTGAAGGACCTAAGGCAACTACCTTGTCCAGTTTCTCCTCTGATGGATGAGGAAACGGAGGCAAAGGAGCATCAAGCCTGGCAGACAGTGTTTAGAGCGTTTTATACGCAGTGTTGTTTCTAAGTATTCTGATCTCGGCTTTACAAGTGAGGGATCACAGCCTTAGAAGGGTACATGTTTGGCTCAAGATGTGAACAGTTCAGGAGGAGCCAGCCAGGAGTGAAATTCTAATGTGGACTTAAAGCCCCATCATGAAATAGGGCACCATGCCGATGGTGCTCCATTTTAACACCCAGAAAGCTCTGCGTCATCTGTGCCTAAGGGAGGATAAAAATGTCTGTTTGGCTAGTGTTACTGCCTTTGTTGCTCGTATTGACATTCAATGCCACGATGAGACTGTGCACACAGCCCAGACAGCGAAGAAAATTCCAGATCCTCCCTCAGAGCCTCTTCCTCTCCACCCTCCCCATTGCTGCCCCGGGGGGAATGAAGTAAAGAGCTCATGCTTGTTCCAAGGGCTGGCTTCCGTGCAGCAAGGGGCGGGTGCCTCTCTCACCAGTGACACACCCGCCACCCGGTCATCAGGACGACTCACTCTTCAGTGCTGCATTGCTGTCACTGGGCAGCAACTCTCGGACCAATTGACCGTCTTCCTTATCCTTGTCCAGCCACCTGGGAGGCAGACAAGGGGCTGTTAGCTCTTGGAGTGGCCGACGGCCAACCATCATGCTGCTCCCGCAGAGTAACCAGGGAGGTCAGAACTGTATGTTCAGCAGAGGAAAAGACTGTACAGGAGCTGAGAACAAAGGGTCACCACCCAGACCGGGGAGGGAGGACTGCCCTGAGGAGGTGATATGGGCTGAGGCTGGAAGGGTGACAAGGAATTGGCTGGGAGAAGAGGGAGGTGCCTTCCTGAGGGAACAGCATATGCTGGGATGGAGCAGAGCCTCCAGGAGCTGAATGAAGGCCACTGGGGATGGAAGGCAGTGAGGGAAAGAGTAGCTAGCATTCGGGGAAATGAGAAGGATCACAGGATATAGGACCCTTGGCAATCACAGTAAAGAGTTCATCTTGAAAGCCAAAAACGCCGGAGTCACTGTTACCAGCAAAAACAACCACCTCTTTTTGGGAGAGCCTATTGTGTGCACGGTGCTGTGCTGAGGGCTCTGGGGAGGGGGAGAAGGCAGAAAAGATACACTGACATCAATAAGACACTGCTCAGCCCCTAGAGAACGTACGGTCTAGTTAAGAAGAGAGGATAGACTAGGAGCGCCTGGGCGGCTCAGTCCGCTAAGCAGCCAACTCTTGATTTCCGCTCAGGTCACGATCTCAGGGTTGGGAGATGGAGCCTCGAAATGAGCTCCACGCTCAGCACGGAGTCTGTTTGAGATTCTCTCTCCCTCCCCCTTTGCCCCTCCCCCACTCATGCACACGCTGTCTCTCTTAATTAAAAGAAAAAGAAGATAGGAGTGACTTGCCAGGGCACTGAAGTCCAGGACAAGGATGACTGTTGGCCCAAAGTAAGTGCAACAGGAATTTAGAGAAATGAGAACAGTTTGTGGGAAGGGGCTTACTGAGTCCTCAAGGAGGAATGAGATTTGCCAACAAGGAGAAGCTGGGTCTGGACCCTACAGGGCTGGGTTTGATGGCCGTGACTCATCTATTCCTCAGAGTGGGCCATGGCCCCAGCTCTCTGCTGGCCATCCACCTGGGCGCAACACATCGGACTGGCTCACCCGAAAACACCATCCCCACCGAGCATGGGGATGCAGCCAGAGACATCAGACGGCCGTGCAAGCAGAGATGCCCAGGCCCCAGTACTCCCGAGGGTCTGTGATACAGGTCACGGCAGTAGAAGAGACACCCTCAATGTTCTCCAGCACCGTGGGGAAGCCAAGGTGCTCACCTCTGGACCAGCGTCTCCCAATTTGCTTCTGCATTGGAGCTCGGCTTGGCAACCCAGCCCTATTATACTCCTGGCAGGGAGGTGCCTCCTGGCCACAGAACCCATCAAAGGAAACCAAGGCATCGCCTTCTCTCCAGCCCCTGACATGGAGCTCAGGCCTCCTTAAACCACAGTCCCTCTGCTAATATACCCCACCCAAGGGTAGGATCCGCATCCCCTCTCTCTCGCCCTCCCTCCCCAAGCACGTGATCTTCTATTCCCACAGGATATTGCTGCCCGCTGGCGATTAGCTTGCACAAAATGTTAGTCGGCAGCTAAGTGATTACACTGGTCATGGGCTTTAGTGCTGTGAGTCTCAACACCAAAATCATCTGGGATTCCAAGACATGAAGATGCAATTGCAGAATTCTTGGCACTGACAATGAAGGGGAGAGGAGAGATAGTTGAGAGCAGGGACTACTGCCTCAAGTCCCTCCAACAAACCCATTAGGAGCCTCCCCCTCTGTCCCGTGGAGGTCACCCGGCATCCACAGACAGAGACTGCCGAGAAGGGTGTGGCGTGGCTGGGCTCTCACTCACAGGGATGGGAACGGTGGAAGCCAGCAGGCCTGCGGCCATGGGGAAACCCACGCGCCCTCCCGCCACTCTCCACCACTCACCCATCCCCAGGCCCGCCCCAGCAGTAAAGGGACACCGTGGCTTGTCATTTTAGCTTCCAACTGAAGGGTATTAATAGATATTTCCAAATATAGTCGTTTTCTTTCAGCTTCATACATTTGGACCCGGGTTCAGCGTGAGATGCTACTAAATGGGTGAGCCCCTCTGCTGGTGATTTTATTGCTCTTTCCCTGAGCTCACAAGAAATGTGTAAGTATGCACACATGTGTGCACACAACACACAGCTGCCAGAGAAAACGCTTACACCACCTGACCCTGGCAGAGAATTTGATAAAGAGGCCCATGTGTCCTCCCCCCACCCCCCGGCAGTTAACACACAGCTCAGGTGAAAAAGCAGCAGCGTGGGAGAGCAGGCTCTACCTCCAGGTGCTTCAAAGGCCTCCCGGGTTCCCAGTCGGTAAATGCCACCCCCACATGCCTCAGCAAGGTACAGGAATTCATTTTCTTAAAAAGGCATGAACGCTTTAAGTGTCTGGGGGCAGGGAGGACTCCAGGGTGTTTGGGGGCCTTGGCTCGCCTTCTGCCCTGCAATCAGCATCACCTCTGTCATTGGCAGACTCGGCTCCTTTCAGAATGCAACCCCATATCACCCTCGCCATCACTGTAGGACACATGCTGGTCAGGAAGGCGCAGAAGACCAGAGAAGTTAAGAAATTTGCCCAAAGCCACGCAGCAGGCAGGTGGCTAGACTCCTGGTCCCACACTCGCCCTGCACCATGCATGTAGCAATGCAGGCAGTGTGGACACACCGACTTTTTCCTCATTCCCTTTCCAGGTTCCCTGTCCTCCTACTGACCCGTCTCAGGGCTCGGTCCTCACAATTCTTCATCCACACTCTCCCTGAAGGATCCCATCCATTTCCCTGACTTTAAATTCCATCGCTATGCTCTCATATCCTGGAGCTATTTCTCAAGGCCTGACTCTGCCTACTCGACTCACAAGCCCCTCAAACCTAATATGCCCCAGCTAAACCTCCAGAGTCCAGCCCAGCCCCACCCTCAAGCCTTCCCCCCCCAGGCTCCCAGCTTCAGCAAAGGGAGCACGACTTCTGCCCACCTACCAAAGGCAGAGACCTGGGTCTCCAATTGCCCTCTCTCTTGTGGGCACATCCCATGAGCTCTATCTCCAGGACCTGTCTCTGGCATAGCCCCTTCCCCCTACCTCCACTGCCACTACCTAGGGCAAGCTGCCATGTTATGGACTTAAATGTGTCCCCTACAAATGATGTATTAAAGTTTTAAGCCCCCAGTACCTCAGAATGTGACCTTCTTTGGAAATAGTGTCCTTATAGAGGTAATCAAGTTAAAATGAGGTCCTTAGGGTTGGCCTTAATCCCAAATGGCTGGTGTCCTCATAAAAAAAGGGAAATGAGGGCGCCTGGGTGGCTCAGACGGTTAAGCGTCTGCCTTCGGCTCAGGTCATGATCCCAGGGTCCTGGGATCGAGTCCCACATCGGGCTCCCTGCTAGGCGGGGAGCCTGCTTCTCCCTCTGCCTCTGTCTCTGTCTCTCTCTCTGACTATCAGGAATAAATAAATAAAACATTAAAAAAAAAAAGGGAAATGTGAACACGGAGACAGACATGTACAGAGGGAAGATGATGTGAAGACCCAGGGAGAAGATGACCATCTACATGCCAAGAATGCGTGCGACCACCAGAAGCCGAGAGGCACGGGGCAGATCTCATTCAGAGGGAACACGGCCCTGCAGACGCCTTGTACTTGGACTTCTGGCCTCCAGAACTATGAGACAGTAATTCTGTTGTTTAAGACACTCAGTCTGTAGCGTGTTCTTACAGCAGCCTAGCAAACTAATACGTGCCATCGCGGGCCCTGCAAAGCCTCCCACCAGGCTCCGTTTCTCCTCTGGATCCCCCATAGCCTGCCCTCCACCCAGAAGCCAGAGGGAACTTCCTCAGATGGACGTTCCTTGCCCAAAGCCACATAGTGGCTGCCTGTCCCTGCCTGACACTAGCCTCTGTCCATCGCTGACCTCACCTGGTGGCCTTCTCTTTTGTCCACCTGCTTTGGTCTCAATTAAGTTCTAGAACCCTCAAGCTCTTTCCCCAGCACTTTCCTTTCTATCCCTTAGGAAGTCAGCCCAACTGCCCCCTCTGCAGACAGAACTTACCCACCTCCTCCATCTCTAACCAGCCCACCTCAGTGTGGCTGCTCCCATTGGCTCTGCGCCATTGTGTGTTTCCTTCATCCTGTACCTCAGAGTTCGTAAGTATGGCTTTCTCTGTTTATTTACTTGCTTATTGTTTAGTTCCCCTCTCGGCTATACACTTCATGAGGTCAGGGAGAAAGTGCATAGTAAGTGCTTAATAAATCTCTTTCGAGGGACGCCTGGGTGGCTCAGTCGGTTAAGCGTCTGCCTTCGGCTTGGGTCATGATCCCAGGGTCCTGGGATCGAATCCCACATCGGGCTCCTTGCTGAGCAAGGAGACTGCTTCTCCCTCTGCCTGCCTCTGTCTCTCTCTCTCTGATAAAAAAAAAAAAATCTTAAAAAAATAAATAAATCTCTTTCGAGTGGATGGGGATAAAGCTGCTCCACCTGGCATCCCAGCTGGGCAGCCTCCTGGCCCACTGGGGGGGAAATGAATCAGTGATGGATCTGGAGAGAGACCAGAACTCTCCCACCTCATCTTTCATCCTCACGTGCCAGGCAGCCCCCTACCAGCCTCAGCATGAGCCTCCTCCTCGGTCCTGTGCCTCATGCCACTTCTCCAACCTGGATGACCCACCCTCCCTTCTCACCATCGACCCCCCCTCTGATCATTCCTGGCCCAGATCTAGTTCTACCTGTTTCTAGAAGCCTTCCTCAGCCTTCTCAGCCTTTACTCTGAGCCTCTTTCTGTCCATTAGTGCCACTTACTTAGAGCTACCGGAGTCATTATTTATCTTTTTGATATAATCCCTTATAATACTAACAGTGGCTAGACTTTGAAGACTGTAGAGACCTTTGTCATGGACAAAAATGTTTCATAATTATTGTCCCAGTGGCCTTCCATGGCTGGGAAACTACTTCTCCTGGGCTTGTGGGGGTGGTAAGCAATTCGGCTGTAGTAAATACGTCTGAGTGAACATGCATGCACACGAGTGCATTTGTGTGCATGGTTAGAGAAAAAGGAACATATTCACTGCGGGGCTGTCGGGCAGCTTGCCCCCACCCACTCCAAGGAAGACTGTCTTTAGCACAGCCACCCTCAGGAAGCCTGGGCCAGTGCTAATGAAGGGAGCTTGGACATGCAGCACCTTGTTGATGGGTGCAGGCTGAGTCCTTCACAGAGCCCCAACCTAAGCAGACTGCGTGCACTTCCCATATGTTGCCACAGGTGAATGTGAATGGCCAGCTTGACGGTGCAAAAAAAAATTGATATTGCTCCTTATTCTAAAAACCTCTGTCAGTAACTTCTAGAGTCAATGGTACCCCAAACTGGTTATGAAAGAAACCCAAATGTTTAAGAAGAAAAACGAAACTTTACCTCACTAGCAAGCTGGGGAAAGGGAATGAAAACAAAGTAAGGTATCTTGAGAAGACATTCACAGGGACAGATGTGGTTGAAGGCCCATTCAAATTGGGAAAAAAAAACAAAAACAAAAAACAACACCTTTGACTCAAAAGTTGAATTCAGTGGGTAACTAATAATCTGAGGGAACTCCATTAAATTCTGAAATTGTCATACTGTATCTTTAAAAAGTAACGACACTCTGGTACTTAAATAGACACCCCAGCGGTGCCCTGGGACACCAGACACCAGTGGCTCATCACCTGCAGGTGCGGTGGGGACATGAGTCTAAGCACCAGCAGCAGGGGCCACCTCTTCCTGCCCTGGTTCCATCCTTAAGCCACGACTGTGCTCCCTGGTCTGTGGTAGCAGGCAGGGCTGAGTCTCCCCAAAGCCAGGGCCCGGGACCAAAGCTGGAGGACACAGAGAGCAGCAGGACCACGCACCTGAGACACGGGAACTCCACATTGTCGCTCTCGGGCTGCCCCTCTTCTCTCACCAGCACCCGCTCCAGGAACCAGCCGCTTCCCCCGCCTCTGCCATCATGCCTGATCCTCACCCGCCTCACCTTCCGTATGGTGACCGACTCAATGGTGAACTCGTCGGCCTTCAGAGAGGAAGACCGCAAGGTCAGTTGGACAGTGGCTCCCTTGGGGACCCAAACACCAAGGGGAGACACAGGCCCAGAAATCAGAAGAGCCGGGGCTGATGGGTTGGGCTACTGATCTTTCACAGGTGGGTTGGGGGATACCTAGAAAGAACAGGTCTAACCCCTCCTCCAACTGCTCCCACTGGGAAGTCATTCTATGTCAAGTTCCCAACAAGGGGGGGCTTTATTTTCTGGTTAAACAATGGCCATTCCCTATGATCTCCTTCTAAAAGGCAGATCTCCCAGGAGGAGGAACATGATAAGCTGTTACCAGGCACTAACCATATATCATGAATTCATTCCGTGGCTAAACAACTCGGGCTCCTGCTACCGAAGGATACCAGCCCCCTTTCGAGGCATGGCTAGGACTGACTTGGGAGGGGGGACCAGTGGTCTCGCTAATTGCACAGTTTTGCCTGCCAGTGGGGCAGCAGAAGTGCAGTAGGGGCTGGAGAGTTGCTAAGCCTACATGAGCACACCTGGGAGCATCCAGGAACAGGAACATAAAGGTGGGATTGATGGACAAAGGAGTCAGAAGAGGTAGAAGAGTAGGAAAGGGTGAGTGTGGGTGAGAGGGACAGAGGAAACCTATAAATCTATGTGAAGTTGCCCCCCTCTGTCCCTCCCCAAATGAACCTCGGTCCACCCACAACACGCAGATTATTTTTACCACCATAGCCTTCTTGTGTCTATGACCCCAAGGACTGGGCCAGCCTGGAGTGGCCTCAGAGAGAGGCCTCCACTCGATTTCCAAGGCCTGCCCTGCCCTCGCCGAGGATGGGGCAGCAGAGGTGGGGAGAGAGCCAAGGCTTGTGGTAGGTCAGTCTGCAAATCCGCTTCACCTGGTAAGCACCTTGGGCCTCATTTGATTGCAACAACTCTACTGAGCACCTACTCTGTGATGTAGGCCAGGCGGTACATCTGCATCCTTAATCTTCACATCGGCTGGCCACAGGTGGGCATCTCTTCCCCATTTTAGATGTGGGGAAACTGAGGCTGGGAGAATGGACCGACTGGCCCCACACTGGGTTTGCCCCCAGATCTGCCTGACAGTTTCCCCATTGCCCCACACAGCCTCCCCAGGAAACCCATTTGACAGGTGGGGAAATGAAGGGGAGCACCCAGCACATCTGTGAAGAGGCTAGGCGCAGAACCCAGCTCTTCCAGCCCCATGTTTAGTGTCTTTCTTGGTTTCTCCTTCAAAAAAGAAATGGACAAAATGCCCCCAGTGTCACGTCTAGCGGAGAAGGCCAAGTTCCCAGCTTTCTACTAGCCTGGGTCCTCCAGTCCACAAGCAAGGTGCCCAGCATCCCTCCCTGCCTGGCCACCCCTGAAGGAAGAAAGGTGCTGCTCCTACCCCCAAATGTCTTCCTGTTCTGCCCCCTTCTCAAAGCTTATGGGTGGGGAGGGGACCATGACCCACCAGGTCCCAGCTGGACCGTCCCAGGAGCCTAGAGGGTGTCATGCATGTTAGTTCGCTGTTCCCCTAAGTACGCCTCTCTGATGGCCGGGGCACCCATATCAGCTTCAGCAGAGCAGGGAAGACAGGGGAAGGGGACCTGGAGCCAGGGCGTGGGGGCGGGTAGGGACGGGGCATGGCTGTACTCACACTGCCCTTCTCAAACAGGTTGGTGTTATTCCTGCAGTTGTACAGCAGCCGCTCGCCTGTGTCCCCCACGTCGCCATAAAGGCAGAGGTAGACATTGGCATCGGTTCCTGCGCCTTCGAGTTCTCCGGTGCACACGGTCACCCGGTACCGGGCCACTGTCAGGGAGAGAAAGGGACACGGGCTCACCGGCCGCCCCCCGCCCCCACTCCTAGCACTGGTCCTGCTGCTCCTGCCTCTAAGCGCGCCCCCCCCTCCCCCCCCTCCCCGCCCAGGTCTCGCCTGGGCCGCCCTTGCGGCCTCCCTGGCTATGCAAATCCCATCCCACCCAGTCAAAGGTCAGCTCACCTGCAGGTCCGTCTTCCCAGACAAACCAGAGGTTCCCAGGCCTAGTCAAGCATCAGAATCCCCTGGGAAATTCTTGTAAGAATGCAGATTCCCGTGTCCCACCGAGATTTCTCTAATTTTAGTTTCCAGAGGTAGGATCCCTAAAACTGCTTTGTTTATATGCTCCCCCAGGACACTCCAAGGGGGTTGGCAGTGTTTGGGGACCACAGGTCTGACTCAAACATTTTGACCCTTGATTCCATCCAGCCCAGCAGACTCTTTTGTCTCGGGTTGTTCTCCAATTCATGTGTCCCGTGTTCTCAAGTAAAATAGCTTTTTTTTGTGAACCAGAACTGAGCCCCCCTTTGCTTCAGAATGGAAAGGCACAAAATGCCCCTCCCACTGTGGGAGGGGCAGCAGCTTCTTTCCCTATTGAAAATGTACCTTGGAGGAGGTAGACCTGCATCCCTGCACATCAGAGCCTCCCTTCTCACTTCGAATAAGCTAGAAAGTGAAATTCATTCATTCATTCATTCACTCACTCACTCATTCATTTGCCCTATATCTATTGACTGAAGCCCAGTAGGTGCTAGGCACCATTATAGGACCGGGATTCAGCAGTGAGCAAGACAGACAGACTCGTGCCCCCATGGAGCTTCCATCAGAGGTGAGAATAGATGGGTGGAGAGGAAAGATGGACAGTAAAATCATAACAAATTATGAACAGGAAAATTTCTGAGTTATGTCTGCAACAAAGATTACATAGGAGAGGGGTTCCCCAGAATGGGATGGAAGTGGAGGCGGGGAATATGGTGAGGGAGTAAAAAGGATTTAGAGAGGCAGAAAAGCTTGCAGCAAGAAGTTGACGTCTGGTAAAATGCCAGTGATAAGGAGCCAGCCACAGGAAAGTCTGAGAGAAGAGGGTGCGAGTAAGTGCGAAGACCCAGTGTAGGGATGAGCAGCGAATATTCCAGGAGCAGAGAGAAGGCCAGTATGGCTTGGGTGAAGGAGGATTAGGTGAAGTCCTGAAGTGGACCAAGGCCAGCATGGTGGGGGGGCAGTGTGTATGTGACAGCCAAGGTAAGAAGTGTGACTTCCTTTGGTTGGTTGTTTTTTTTAATACAACGGGAAGCCATTGGAGGGCTTTAAGCAAGAAGTAACCTGATCTGATTTATGGTTTTTTAAAATAATTTTTTATTGTTATGTTAATCACCATACATTACATCATTAGTTTTTGATGTAGTGTTCCATGATTCATTGTTCGTGCATAACACCCAGTG